GGTCTGGAGAGACCCGGGTTTGGTTCCCGCTAAGGGCACGTACCTCGGTTGCAGTTTGTCGCAGGCCCTGGTTGGGTCGTGTGGGTGGCGACCATTCGATGTGTCCCTTTCACATCGATGTTTCTCTTTCTCTCTCTCTCTCTCTCTCTCTCCCTCCCTCCCTCCCACTCTATCTGAACAAAATATCGAAAAATGTCCTCGTGTGAGGATAAAAATAAATAAATAAATAAATAACTGAAGAGTGGTTGTCTAATTAGGCATTTCTATCAGTAAAATACAAATTCTGTGAAGCCTTTAATTATAGCAAAACAATTAGTAATTTTGCTGAAATCAAGGCAAGAAAAATAGAGATAGAGATAATGAAATAGCCCTGGCCAGTTTGGCTCAGCAGTTAGAGCGTCAGTTTGCGGTCCAGAGAGACCGGTGTTCAGTTCCTGCCAAGGGCAAATACCTGGGTTGCAGTTTGTCCCCTGCCCTGGTTGTGGTCGTGTGGGTGGCAACCACTTGATGTGTCTCTCACATCGATGTTTCTCTTTCTCTCTTCCTCTCTCTCTCCCTCCTGCTCTATCTGCAGATAAATACAAAAATGTCCTCTGGTGAGGAAAAAAAAAAAAAGATGTAATAATTTATGAATTATACACATTTTTATTTTCCTTCTCATTCAACATTGCTAACCCTTTAACAAAACACCCATGCATGCTGAATAATAATTAGATTGAGTCATCTTTGATATTTTGATGACTTTCTCTGTGTAAAAAATCTAAACGTTTTTCAGCACGTCATTATGAAGATGTATTTGTCAAGATAGGAAGACAGATTTCTTGCCCTTGCAGTCCATGAGAAATTCTGTTTCTTTTCCATGTATTTCCTCATCTTACATAGACTGGATGTTTTTTCCCTTGTATTGAATCTAGAGGCATGTTGATGAAGACAGTGGTGCAAAGTGGAGATGATGGAGAGGCTGATGAAGAGTAGTGATGGAGGCGTAGGTGACAAGGACTGGAGTGAGGGCTGCCCTTGTGGCCATTCCAGTCCTTGCTTCCACCCCGCACACGGAGCCAGCAGAGGAAGCAGGCAGGAAGGCCAGGGTAGTGAGAGTGGACTTGCTCCAGCCAGGGCCCTGGTACAGCCGAGGTGGCAGGCGATTCCGGCTCTTCCATCTACAAGTTGTGTGACCCTCAGTGAGTCACTTCACCTCTCTCTGCCTGTTTCCTCCCCCACTTCACATAGGCTTTGTCAGCAGTGAATGAGGCCCCGAGTGGAAAGCACTTAGCATAGTGCCTAGCACATAAACAGTAGATGTAGTTGGTGTTATTATTGGAACACTAGGTTGTAAGCTCTTCCAGAGTAGAAATCCTGTCTATTGTATTCATACTATTGATTAGGTGCTTCCTCTGGGCAGGGGAATGGTTAATGACATCTTCCTTTCCACCACCCCACTGCCCCCTTCTCTCTCTGGCCACCCCTGCCCTCCCCCACAGTGACTACTGAACAGTGGGTGCTGGGCACCTGGCTCTGCCCAGAAGCCGCCCCCTCAGAGGAGAGCAGCGGGAGCCAGGCTATTGTTGTGGCTGAAATTCTTTCCGAAACGGAAAGTCCTGAATGAGAGGATGGCTGTTCTAATCTCTCTGGGGACTCACACGTGGCCAGCCCGGAGGGCTCCTCCTGTGGCGCCCGCCTGCACTGCAGAAGCCCAGCTCTGAACCCTTCCCTCTCTCTGAACCCCAGGCCCCTCCTTGAGCCCCCTTCTCTCATTCTGAGCCTGCCTTTACTCAGGGTCCCCATCATCTCACTGAACTTATCCCTCACAAACCCCCTCCCTTCTCTGCAGCCCATCTTCTCTCTAAGCCCTCCTGAGCCCCCACCCCGCAGCCCTGCCCTGCCTCTTGCCCTCACTGACACCCTGGCTCCTGCTGTCCTCTTGGCCTGTTGCTCTCGCTCTCCCTCCCACAATTCTCCCATCCTGTGCCCTCCAACCCCCCACCTCCCAGCCCATCCCCATCGGAAATCCCTTCCAGGTCCAGATACCCTCTCCTCTTTGAAAGCTTCCCACCTCACCCTGACAGAACAAATACCCCCGCCCTAGCCCCATGTCCCCTGCTTTGTTCATCTGTGTCACCGAAGCACTGAGCTCACTTGTGATCAGTCCTTCCCACCTCTGCCCCCACCCCCACCCCCAGGCAGGCTGAGTTCCCTGGGAGCAAAAACCATGTCTGACCCATCTGCTGACCCCACGGCACAGAGCAGTGTGCAAAGTGATTTGTTGACAGCAGCTGAGAGTGAGACTGTAGCAGTAGAAAAAACATGGTAAAAAAGGGTTTAGGCCAGAGTTTTAGGAAGGTATTGGTGGAGGGCTAGCGCTAAGAGGCAGATTCACCTAAATTTTGAGCACCCTGAGGCACCAGGTGCTTTCTCTGTCTTGGCCACCACTTCTTTGCCACACACAAGAACTCAATCTTATTCCCATTTTACACAAAAAGAAATTCACAGAGGTTAAGTTCCTGCTCAAGGCCACACAGCCAGTGAGTGGCAGACCAGCATTAGAACCAAAGGCGCAGAGGTGTGAATGGCTATGGCAAGGCAGATGGCAAGGGAGTTGGCAGTTTCTCCTCTGGGACAATGGAGGTCTGGGGTCTGAGGCTGATCTGAAGGGCCTCCCTCCCCCATTGTCCCACCACCTTCTAGAAGGAGTCAGATCTGACTCAGGCCCATTCCCATCCATCCTCAGAGTGATTCGGGAGTGAGCCAGGAAACAGGAAAAAAATCTCTCTCAGATGTGGCCTCCCCTCTTTGCCCCAGGTCCTGGCTCTAGGGCCGGAAGGAGCCACTTTAAGGATCTCCCTGGGGACTCACGACAAGAAAGACAGATGATCCAGTTCACAGCAAGTGTGGCCAAGAGACAGGCAGAGCAGGCTGCTGCGGCTCCTCCCCATCACCCCCATCTCTTGCTGCTTCGGTCAGAGCTCTCACCCAGGAAGCCAGTCCAGTCTGACCTCTCCACCACGACCCTGCTCTACCAGTCTGGGAGAGGGTCTGTGTCCACTGGCATGCTGGACAGGGTACTGTCACCCCTCAGACTGGCAGCTCCTGAGAGCAAGGCTCCTAGACCACCCTACCCCTCAAACTCCTGAGGGCAGAGCCGTCTCCCACTCTGACTGGAGACTCTCAGGGTTGAGTTGGTGTCTCGGTCCCTGACACGGTGCTCCGGCAGGGAGGCGGGTCACTTCTAGTCACCTCATCAGACCTGGGGCTGCCCAGGGCAGCACCTGTGCTCCCTTTTCTGTAGCCCAGCATCTGTCTTTGGTCCCTAGAAAAGAGAGGAGAAAGGGGACGCCCCAGCCCTTCCACCCAGCCCGGATGCTCCTTTAAGACCAAAGGGATGGGGGTTGTATCAGGAGTTAGACACAACAGCCCCATCCTCCCCCTCCTTCACAGGCCAGGTTTCCTGCCATTGACAGCATCCCAGCTGGGCCCTGCCCAGCTTCCATGCTTAACCCCTTCGTGACCAGATTTCAGAATTAATGGCCTTTATCTATAAAATTAGGAGAATGAAAGTACCTATTTCATGTGGTTGTTTTGAGGATTAAATGTGTTCATAGTTTGTGTAAGGTACTCAGAAAGGTGTGTCACATATATTAATCTCTCAATAAAAGTTAGCTATTATTCCTACTTGTGTGAGCTTGGATCAGCCACTTCACCTCTCCGAGACTCTGTCTCTTCTGCTGTCAAATGGGGAAAAACACCTACCCTCCCAAAATATTGTCCTGGGGATGACTTGTGACAAAGTACATGAAAGCATTTTATAAAGTTGTAACAACACAATATGAAATTATCATGGACAAAATAATAATAATAATCTCAACTAGGTAATTAAAATCTCTTACCAGGAGATGGGCCCCTGGTTTTCAGATTCATTACCCTATTTGACAGGCAGAGGGTGCAATGGAAAGAGTGGGTTTAGGGTTGGACTCAGATAAGTCCCTCCCCTATCAGATCCAGTTTCCCTAACCTGCTGGACACCCAGTCTAGGGTCCTTGGGAGGAACAAAGGAGATCAGAGAGCACAGGTGTGAATGTGCTTTGCAAATGTTAAAAAGTGCTAGAAGGGAGGGAAAGGGATTTGTGGAAAGTGACCAGCTAGAGGGGGGCAGGGACCCCTTGACAGGGAAAGTGGTCTTTGAGCTCTGGGAGCTGCAGAGTTTACCTGCTGGGGAGAGGGGAGGAGACATCCTGGTACCAGCACTGTGGGGACATGGCTCCTCTAGGGACATGAGGTGCCAGATAAGAAACCACGCCAGCTCTAGAAGTCCCCAAGTTGGGGCAGAGGAGGAAGGAAGCCGAAGGACCCAGGCTTGGCCCCAGAATCATCCCTTCATTATCCTCTTCCCAGCCAATCCCCTTTGCCACCAGAGGACTCTGGGCAGAGGCACCTCCAACGGGCTCCCAGGTGACCTTCATATCAAGACTTGCTGAGACAGGCTCATCCTGAATGTCTGCAGCACCACTGTCCCCACCCTTAGGCTGCATATTCCTGGCCTCACCCACACAGAAAGCAGGCTTGACATCGTCCACACACCCGGACCAGGACAGGTCTAAGCCTGCTACAGAGGGGAAAAGGCACAGTTATTAGAACCCTGCTCTGTCTTCCCATTCCAACCAAGTGGATTTGCCAAGGCCCAGCAGAAGGGACTGACCCCACATGAAGAGCATGCCCCTCTCCAAGCCCCTGAAGGAAGCCTGAGAATCAGGAGACCTTGTTTGGGGTCCTGGCTGTGCCCCAAGCTCACTGTGCCTCTATGCAAATCATTTAACCTGTCAGGGCCTGTGTGACCGTCTATAAAATAAAGGAGCTGGACCTGGTCCATAGGTCTTCTCCAACACTGAGACTGTGATCAGGAAGGAGTTAATGGAGGCCAGGCTTTGGGTCAGGAAGGCGAGGGGAGGGTTAATCTGGGGGGGTTGGGGGTGGAGGCTCTCTCAGCTTTTCCTGTGGAGAGTGAGGTTTGGCTGCCACCAAAGTTACTTCTAGTCTCTGCTGTCCCTCCTACCTTCAGTCTGGCCCTGCCCTGGGACCCCTGAATTCAGCCTCCTCACACAGAGGTGAGTGCATCCCGAGCCCAGCATTGGGGTGGGAGGGCACCCGGGGACTCAAAGGCAGGAAGGCTGGCTCCAAGCCAATGAGCACAGTCCCCAGTTCTCATCTAGAGCAGAAGCCTTGAGCAAAGTTCAAACCACTAACCCCAGGACTGGGAGAAAGCAAGCCAAGGGATGTCTGCCAGGCATCTAGGGTGGAATATCTGTGGTTGGGCAAGGCCAGCCCAGAAGGCAGGGAAGAAGCAGTGGATGGCAGACTATTTTGGTCCCTGTGTTTAGGGACTTTTTATAGCCTCTGCACTTGGGCTGGGAAGAGGAGGAGGTGGTGAGGGGATGTGAGAGTATCCATGAGGTCAGATAAGCACAGTGCCCTCCTGGGACCTTGGAATCTGACCCATTGCCTGGTATAGTCCTTGGGAGCCAGGAAGGAGGGCACTGTCAGGCTCTCCTTACTTCCTGGGTATGTGTGAATATGTGTGTGTGTGTGTGTGTGTGTGTGTGTGTGTAAAGCTGAACAGGTTGTGCTGGGGTGGGTGGGGTTGGCAGGGTCTCTGCCCCATGGCCCATCACCAGGGCTCCCTTCCCCCATCCCTGACAAGTTCTGTTCCTTTGTTGCCTTCAGACTTCAGTTCCCTTGAGCCCCCAGAACTGATGTGTCCCTCTTAACAGAATGGAGGATGGTGGGAGTAAGGAGGCAGGGGTGGGGTGAGTGTGTTGTGCCGTGTGGGTGGCCCATTCTGTTACTGCCAAGGAAACTGTCAGCTCTTGATTTACAACCCCTCCTGGCCCCTTTCCCCTGCAGAAGGGCGGTGGAGGAGAAGGGTCAGAGGGTCTCAGGATGAGAAGGGGGCAGGGACCCTGAGGGCAGATTTCTGGGAGTGCAGGTTTTGGGAAGAATTGGTGGAAGGAAAATTTTTTAGTGAGGCAGGGGGCCCATCTCTAATGGAAGCTGAAGGTTTTATAGCAGTGGGAATACAAGAAAGAAAAAAGAGGGATGTTCTGACAGGCAAGTAAGAGATCCAATCTGAACCAGTTCTGACTGCAAGGCAAGAGACATAGGTTCCAGTCCCAGGACCTAACTCTCAGTAAGCCCTGAGCAAGTCCCCTCCTCTCTGGTCCAGGGTCACCTTCTTATGAACTGGAAATGCAGAGGTAGATAAGGTGATGTTTACAGGTGGGCATTCTGGAATTCCCTTGGCAGGGGCAGAGTAGATAGCAGGTAGCTGGCTGACATGAACTGGTGACCACCGCCCTGTTCTTCTCAATGGCCTTCTGGGCCTGGGCAGGGCAGTTGGCTGCAATTACTGGAGGCTCCTACCCTGTGGTTATATCCCTGACCTCGGTGCTTCGGGGTGGGAAGGGTGGGCCCTGCTGGAGCCAGCCTATGGCTGGGAAGCCTCCTTGTCTTGGACTCCAAGTTGCTGGGTTGGGAAGAGGTATTTTTTCCGGTGGAGGCCACTTTCGGGAATTGGGCCGGGACCAGCCCCATTTCCTTTTCCAAGTGTCCTGCTTGTTGATACCTGCTCTGCATGGCCTGCGTGGCTTTTGGAGTATGGGTTCCAGGCTGCCAGACTGGGGCAACCCTCAAAGGGGCATGTTTCTGGGTGACGAGGGGGCCCCTACCCAATGTCTCTGAGGAATGGGGGTAAGGGACAGCCTGAGCCTCTGTCCCCTGGGCATGGCACCCGCTGACTTGGATGGGGGAGGGGTGGCTGGCTGATCCTGTTCCCAGGAATGTGCGCAGAAGGGCAGGGATATCTACTCTTCCCTGACCATGCTTCTTTCCTTGCAGGCCCCAGGAAGCCCCAGCCAATTGCTCTCAGCAACTTAACTATCTGCCTAACTCCAGTAGCTTATGGGGCACTGTCCTGCCCAGTTCTGCTAAGATGCTCCTGTCCTCTCCCTCCACCCCATCCAGGGGACGGACCCCCAGCGCGGTGGAAAGGCTGGAGGCCGACAAAGCCAAGTACGTCAAGACGCACCAGGTGATAGCACGACGCCAGGAGCCAGCCCTGCGCGGAGGTCTGGGGCCTCTCACACCACACCCCTGCAATGAGCTGGGGGCCCCTGCATCACCCAGGACGCCCAGGGCCGCCCGCCGGGGTAGCGGCAGGCGGCTGCCAAGGCCAGACTCCCTCATCTTCTACCGCCAGAAGCGGGACTGCAAGGCTTCGGTGAACAAAGAGAACGCCAAGGGCCAGGGGCTGGTGCGGCGCCTCTTCCTGGGCACCCCACGAGACGCCTCCTCGAGCAGCCCGGGCCCAACGGAGCGACCTACGGCTCCTGGTGGTTGGGCCGCGCCCCAGGATGCCCCGGAAGCGGCGGGAAAGCCGGCGCTGTGCCCCACGTGCTCGCTGCCCCTGTCGGAAAAGGAGCGCTTCTTCAACTACTGCGGCCTGGAACGCGCGCTGGTGGAGGTGTTGGGTGCCGAGCGCTTCTCTCCGAAGAGTTGGGGCACCGACGCCAGCCCCCAGCCTGGAACTTCGCCACCGCCCGGCTCCGGGGACGCCAGCGACTGGACATCCAGCGATGGCGGCGCGGATCGCTCGGATCATGCGGGAGGCGGAGGCGGCGGTTCGGAGGCTGCGGGCTCGGCGCGGGACGGGCGCCCCCCGGTGTCGGTGGTGGAGCGCAACGCGCGCGTCATCCAGTGGCTGTATGGCTGCCAGCGCGCCCGCAGCCCGCCTCGAGAGTCTGAGGTGTGACCGCTGACCGCGTCCGCTCGGGAGCGGGCTCCCGGGGAGTCTGGGGTCTGGGGAGGGTCAGGGGGTGAGCGCGGGGCTGGACCCGGACACGGGCAGGGACGCCCTGCTTCCGACGCGCAGGCTGCCTTTTTGGCAAGCCCTCCGCTCTGGATCTTGGCTTCCCCAAGTAACCATGGGGGCATGGGACAAAATGATTCTCAGGGCCCTTCCCAGTCCAGACAGCAGAGGCGCAGGAGGTAGCCTCGTGGCCCCTGTGGAGGCCAGATCTGAGGAGTGAAGACTGGGCTGAGAATTCAGAGAACCTTCTGAATAAAGTCAAAACGTTAAGCTAGTCCTGAGGTTGATGTTGAGGAAGGGGGCGGGGAAGGTTTGAGAGTGTGTTTTTCGTGAGTTTTTTTCGTGGCTGACTGTGTGACCCTCCCTGGGTGGGCATTTAACCTCTCTGGACTGCAGGTACACCCCTGGGTGTTCAAAATATGTTTTAAATAGCTATAAAGCTCATGACAATGTGCCCCGCACATAGAAGTGCCCAAGGAACGATAGCTGCTATAACCACTACCGAATTAGTACCTACCCACACTATTACTATCACTCCTCCACCGACCCCCACGTCGGTCCAAACTAAAGCCGGGAACCGGGTATTTACCGGGGTTCTAGGACAGGGGTCTGCTGGAGAAATCTAGGGTCCACCGGTGTCTAAAAGGTCCCCATTCCTGGAGTTTTTCCGCCCCCTTAGTTATTAGGTTTGAAGGGCTGAACCAGAATTGAGAATAAAGGGACCCTCCAAATGAAGATTTTGCCAACCCGCAGCCCCACATCCTGCCACTATCTTCTGTCCCTCAAAGATACTCAAGGTCACCTACCTTCCTCACACATTTGGCATCTCTTTGTTCACCGTTCCCCTTTTGCCTGGGTTACCTTCCCCTTTCTCCCCACTCATCCTTCTAAGATTATATATATAATTCTCCAGTCGACCTCATCTCTGAGCTCCCAAGTACAGCCCTATATTTTGAGCCTTGACTTGTCACCTTGTGTGAGATCCTCTGATAGTCTGAGTTCTTGTTACTCTCTGGCCTCCTAGTACAGGGACAGCGCACATAGTAGGGCCACAGGCAACATTTGCCCAATTAAAAGAGGCTGGATAGAGCGATAGAGTCTGTCCTCAGGGGTACCCCAGCTTCCTGAAAAGTTGCACCCTAAATCTAACAGTCTATCCTCTATCCTGATACCCGGGCTGTCCCTGGTCATTTTCTCCCTGTATGTTTGTGAGATGAGGGAAGGATTCCTCCAGCTGGACCCCCACCCTGAGATTGCCCACCCAAAAGCAGCTTTCCCGGCTGTCCAGACAAAAGCACGCGGTCACACGGGCTATCGGGCCAGGGTTTTTATGTTGGAGGGGAGGAGTGGGCGCCCAGTTCGGTCGTCGGGCTAGTCACCTTTGGGCGCAGCCTTCACCCTCAACTCGGCCAGTTTGTGGGTGAGGAAGCCCCACTTGAAGTCGGCAGCCGAGTTGGTCTCCCTCGGCTCGGGGTTTTCGGCGACTTCCTCCGTAGCCTCGTCCCCGGCTTCGGGGTCCCCGGCTTCCGGGTCCGGCTCCGGGGTGGGTTCGGCGCCGCGCAGCATGGACGCTGCCGCCGCCTGCTGCTGCTGCCACCTGCTGGCGAACGCGTCCCAGAATCCAAGCCCGCGCGGTTCCGCCTCCGCCGCCTGCGAGGCGGGCTGCGCAGCCAGAGGGCTGCAGGAGACAGGTGGGGTCAGACGCAGGCGGAGCGGTCCAGGTGAGGACGCAGAGGAGGCGGGGTCAAGGGACCAGTAATTGGGTCAGAGGAGCCCGGGCGATTTCAGGGGACTGGAGGGGCTGGGGAGACTGGAAGCAGGTCAGGATCTGGAGGCAAGGGGTGGGGGGTGGGCTCAGAGGAACCGGGAAAGGGATCTGGGGATTAGGGAAGTGACTTGGGGTGAGGCCAGAGGAGGAAAGCCAGAGGCGCCAGTCAGACAAGATGGGGATGGAACCCTGAGAAAGGGGCGGGGCCCAACGATTAGAGCGAGTGGCGTGAGACCCGGAGGAGCGAGATGCTGGGAGAGGAACGGGTTCAGACTCTGGAAATGGTGGTCTGGAAAAACAAGGGTGGACCCTGGGGAAAGAAGTGGGGTGGGGACTGGGGTCAAGTTCTGGGATGGAGGTAAAAGGGGACAAGGAAAATGAGGGAACCGGGAGAAGGACGGATGGAGCGACCCCAAGGGAAGGAGAAAGGTCTAAATCAGAAGCTCGGGGCGGGAGTGAAAGGGGTGTCCTCGGGAGGTAGTGGGGAAATGTAGGGGGAAGGGCAATCAAGGAGCAGTGGTGCAGCTTGGGGTGGGATCTTAGTAGGAAAAGCCCCTACAAGAGCTAGGAGGGAGAGGAGATAAGTTCAGAGAGGAGTGATGGATGGGTCAGGGGCCTTAGGGGAGAAAGGAAGAGGGGTGTCAGAGAGGAGGGAATGTAACAGCTGGTGGAAGGGGCAGAGATAGAAAGTGTGCCAGAGATAGAGCTAGGAGGAAGACTGAGGCCCTGGGTCCTCCCTGATAACCCTCCAGCATCAAAGACCTGGTAAGACTAGCTCCTAAACTAGTGTGCCTCAGATCTTCAGGGAGCTTGCTGAAATGCTGGATCCCAGGCCTCAGCCCACACCTGCTGAATCAGAATCTTTGAAGGAGAGTCTGGAAATTTGTGTTAGTCACAAGCTCCTTGGGAAGATGAAAGTTTAGACCAGTATTTGGGAACCACTAATCTGGATCACTCTCTGTTCCAAACACCTAAAGGTTCTCTGCTCTGTTCCCCAATTCCAGGGAGATAACCTCTCCCACATGGACGGAGAAAGCACCTCAATCCCAACATCTGGTAAATTCTTCCTAAAATCTAACTTAATCTCCCAGATATGCTGATTTGGCCTCTTTCCTGCTAAGAGAAACAGAAACAGCAGGGACTGGCCCTCCCCAATCCTCAGTGGTCAGAAAGGCAAATAGACCATATGGAAAGGCCATGGAAAAGAGGACCCCAGTCCCATCCCAGACCCCCCACCCTAAACACACACACACATACTGGTCAGCACAGGGCTCTGGCGGCAGCAGCTTGTCCTCATCTTCTTTGTTAAACAAAGATGACATTGTCAGCCAACCTTTCACCCCAACCCCCTGAACCTGTGAGGAAGAGGCTGGGAGTCAGTGAAGGGCCACAGCACCACCTCCCAGGACTCCACAGCAGCCTCTGCCAGGCTCCCCAGGGCTGGGTGGGAAGAAGGGAGAACTCACCCGGCGGGCCAACTGTGACATGGGATTGAAGGCCTCTGGAGTCGGTTCTGCTGTCTCAGTCTCCACTAAAGCTGGGTTCTCCCTCTGAGACACAAGACCCCCACCCAACATGAGAGAGGCCCCAAAGGAATAGGAACTCCCTCCCTCACTGCTAGCCTGATACACATAGACCGGTTACCCCAAACTCCACAGAACTAAACACACCTAGTACTCTCACACCCTTCACAAATGCATAAAGGTATTCCTCTAAACAAAGCTACCAGTCACATGCATTACCGGTATAGAAAAATTCCTTCAGAGACCCTTGAGCACACATACATACCCACTTACAGACATGTCCATACACACCCAAAAACATGTGAACATGGGCATGCACACTGATATAGATATACCTGTATATGAGCATGCCTCCACATGGCTATAGCTCTTCACTTGTACATGACTGTGTGCACTGTGAGGCACTTATACAATACAAGGGCATGTACGCAATTTTACCATTCACATTTGTGCGCCTATACAACAGCAGACAGCTGCACAGAGGCCCACCCACAGCACACAAAACCTCTCCACCCATCCACAGACACCAAGACACTGATGTACACACAAACACACACAACATACAAACAGAACACCTGCCAAACCTGCCCAGAGCCATGCAGGTATAGACTTCTGCCCAAATGTACAGACCTGAAAATACCTATACCCAGTTCACACCTGCACATACACCTTAACTTGGGATCCCATATGGAGGCCAATCCTAATACTGACCCACAAATACTTCTACACATGCCCAGCCCTGGGCACCAACCTGTCTAGATATACATTAATTCACATACACATACCACAGAACATATTCCTGCTCCTTCTACATATTTATACAATTGCCACTTATCACAGCCGCTAGATGTAAGTCTGTTTCAGAGCCTTTTCAGTTTTTTTAATGTCAGGATAAACATGGTCCAAGTGTGGCTCTAATCTGTATGCTGACCCTCAGAATACAATCGTCACTTTCCCTATTCTGGTACCAGGGGCTCACTTCTCAAGAAAGCCATCCCACTTCTGCTCAGCTCTGCTCATTGGAAAGTTGAGTCAAGCTGAGTGTACCTTATGTGGCCACTGCCCACTGGACCTAGAAGGATCTCTTTCCTGTGGCAGCCCTTGAGATCTCTGGAGACAGTGACCACTCCTCCAGTGTTCCCCAAGTCTTTTCTTCTTGAAAGTCCTGGCTTTCTGACACTGCACCATGCCACTTGTCATCCCTGAATGTTCTAATTACTTCTGCAAAAACATGTCCCCCCCTTTCCTCTTTCTCTCCCCCTCTCTCCCAGCCTGCCCCTTGCCCTTTTGCACATTTTACTCGTTTCCCCTCTGCCCCTGCCCCACCCACCAAGCATGATACCCACCTCCTCTGCCAGTTCCTCCTCAGATTCCCCACTCAGGGTCTGTAGCACTTTGGATTTGTAGGTTTTCCAGAAGGCCTGGTTCATAGCTGCAGGGGAAATGGGCCTGGCAACCAGGCACAGGAAGGCAGTGCTCAGTGGGTACCCACTGGGTCTGGCTTTAGGAACTTGGTGAGACCAGGAGCCTGTCCCAGGGATCTAGTGACTTCATTAAAGATGCACCAGCCTCCCCAACTGGCATAGAGCCAGCAAGTGAACTGATCCAAAGGAGTCTAGGGTGGGGGTGGGACAGAGCAGGCTTCTGTCACCTCAGCCCCTTGTTGTGACCCATATTGGCCAAGAATAAGAAAGACATCTCTCCCCACAGAAGCCTCCTTCCTGGGCCTCGGAGTACTTGAATTTGATCTCTTGGAATGGCTCCAGAAAAACCCTCTTCCTTTCACAAAGTCCATTTCGAAAGTCTTTGGACCCAGGACCCACGCTGGTGCCCCTATGACTATAGCCATACCAGCTATGCCCTCAGCAGGGCCCTGCCCTATTCCCCACTTAGCCTCTGTGAATTGGAGTGGGAAGGTCCCAAGGCCCCCAGTTAGTGCTGCGGGCTTACATTTCACTGCTTTGTCTGGGCTGAAAACTGATTCCACTCCCCAGGGATGCACGTGCCTGTCTCCCTGTTTCCTGGCAACAGGTTCCAAAGAGCTGGAGCCCCTGAATTATTGCTGAGCTCTTCTGGTCAGCCTGGAAGGCACCAGGCCCAGTGAATGGGAAAAGGTTTCTCTGGCCCTCTCCTCAGTCTGAGCACACAACATCCAGGCTATCTCTCTCTCTCTCTGCCTTTGCTGCCAGCCCATCCATGGGGGTCCACGGCTCACAGAAAGGGGGCCAAAGATGGGAGGTCTTCCTATGAGCACCTCTTTTTCTTGTGAGAGGAGGTGATCCCTCTTAAGTCTGACAGAATGCCTGAGCACTGTGATCTCTGGGGAGGAAACCCCTTCCAATCTACCTCATGGATTTGGCTGGGGGTGGATAGGGGGTGGACACTTGAAGAAATAACTGGGGAGCAGTGAGAAGGGGCGAGGATTTGTTAGGGAATGAAGGTATCATGGGGAGCTCTATGAAGATCAGAATCCCAAACTAATTCACTCTCATTTATTTATTTATTTATTTTTACTTTTTTTTTTTTTTTTTTATCCTCACCCGAGGACATTTTTCCATTTTTTGTTCAGGTAGAGTGGGAGGGAGAGAGAGGAACAGAGAGAGAGAGAAACATCGACATGAAGGGACACATCGAGTGGCTGCCACCCGCACGACCAACCAGGGCCGGGGACAAACTGCAACCGAGGTACATGCCCTTAGCGGGAACCGAACCCGGGTCTCTCAGGACCGCAGGCCGACGCTCTAACCGCTGAGCCAAACCGGCCAGGGCTCATTTATTAATTTATTCACATCACAGACATTTTTCAGTGCCTCCCGGAGATACTTAAAGCATGCCCCTCCTCCACCGCGGAGTCTAGGATCTGGGAACCAGGAAGGAAAGATGGGACCAGAGGATAGCGCTGAAATAGGTGTTGCAGGGCGGGGTAGGCAAATAGGGGTAGGCAAGGCTGCGGGAAGCACAGGAATTCCCCAAGGCCACGCATCACCCCGCCCCTCCCCAGCGACAACCCGCAAGGCTCCTCACGCCCACAAGTTAGGACACTTTGTTGGACCCTGCCCAGGGCACCGTCACTGATATGTACGGCCACCAGGGGTCGCTCCAGACGCGGCCCGCGCGAGTGACGTCATCAGCTGCAGTCTAGCCCCTCCTGCCCCGCCCCCGGGCGTCGCATGGCGTCATTGAACAGTCCGGAAGCGCCCGCACGTGAGCTTCCAAGTCGGCTGTGGGGCCTCCGGCTCCGCCGACACCAGCCATGGGTCGCTCCCGCCGGACCGGTGCTCACCGAACGCACTCCCTGGCCCGCCAGATGAAGGCGAAGCGGCGGCGGCCAGACCTGGATGAGATTCACCGCGAGCTACGGCCCCAGGTTCCCTCATGGCCCCGGCCAGACCCGGGCGCCCAGCCCGACCCCGACCTGCCAGGGGGCGGCCTGCATCGCTGTCTGGCCTGCTCGTAAGTCCCAGCCGGGCCAGCCTTGGGAGGAGTAGGGTCCGTGATATGGGCCGGGGCTGTGAGGTCCGGGGCCTGGGGCGCGCGGTGTCTCCTCTCTTGGGACCCGAGGTCTGCGGGCCTCCCATCGCTTCACACCCTAAACTTGGCGTCAGGGAATGAACTATATGGTCAGGGAGATAGACGTACCTGAGAGACATCAATTAGCTCCTCATTCTTATTACCCCGCATCCCTATAGGAGGTACTTTATTGATTCCGCCAACCTGAAGACCCATCTCCGATCCAAAGACCACAAGAAAAGGTATGAAGGGGTAAGAAGATTGATGGATAGGTGCCTGGTTTACAGGGCTCGCATCTGGACAGCTCCCAACTTCTTTTTTTTTTTCTTTTTTTCTCCCAGGCTAAAGCAGCTGAGTGTAGAGCCCTACACTCAGGAAGAGGCTGAGAGGGCAGCAGGTATGGGCTCCTATGTGCCCCCCCAGCGGCTGGCTGTGCCCTCAGAAGTATCCACTGAGGTCCCTGAGATGGACACGTCTACCTGATGTAGCCAGAGGATGTACAGCCAAGGAGCTGCCCATGGACAATGATGCAGGGCTAGGCTGGGAGAGACTGTGACGACCTTTTTGGGCCCTGGATTTGTGGAGTGGATGGCCTCTTCTGGGGGCCCTCCCCCTCAAATAAAGGAACTGGATAAAGAGTGCTTGCTTTTACTCCCTAACCTCCAGGCCTCCCCCAACTCCTGCCCTGTAAGGATTTGTCTACTGGTCTCGTGTGCAGGACCCAGTGTGTCTATTCCCTACTTGGTCCAGCTTTGGAACCTGCATCTTTGCCTGGAACCCCCAGCAGAGCCCAGGTGCAGTGGGGAGGGGGTGGGAGTAGGATCAGGTTCAGCAGGTTCATATTGCGCTGCTTCCAGTGAGGGCAGAAAAGAAGTGGAATCCCAAGATTGCAGTCCCTGCTGAGTTACCTGCCCCCCAGGACCCAGGTGAGAGGCTGCCCACTTCGTCATGGCGCCTGTGGTGGTGGCCGTTGCCCCATCATCTTCCAGACAGCGTAGCAGGAACCACCCAGTCCAACGACAGCAAGCAGTGTAGCCACAACCCCAACCAGTGGACTCCGGGGCTCTGCCTTCAGCTCCCCAGCTACCTGCATCTGGGGATGTACAGAGGGTCCACCTGAAGGGTCATTTGAGACTTCTAGGAAGAGAAGGGCCTGAGAAGGTACAGCTGGGTGACGGAGATATGGCCGCCATTACTGCCCCGGGGAGATTCCACCCCAGTCCCTCTCGCTTCAGTGCCCATCTGGGCCCTGGCTGCTCAGGCGGCAGGGAACGTGACCACATTCCCTAGCTGTTGGGGCTGCAAACCCAGCCGTGATGGGGAGGAAGGGGTCGGTGCCAGAAACCATGAGTTAGAGGTACTTACCTGTAGCACCCGGAAGTAGCCAGGGGTCAGGTGTCTCAATCTCATGGTAGGGGCCAGTAGTCTCCCTGGCCGCTTGTGGGGTGGAAGCAGGAATAAGGGCCAGTGGTATTTATAGTGGGAAGAGGAAATATCAGGGCAGAGAGATTCCTGACCTCATATACATGAGAGCTATGCCCTCAGAAGATGCTCACCAGTCTGCTCTCCCAGGTCTGGCAAGGGGTGGGGTAGCTGGACCTTTAAATCTGGTCCCTTCCCCCCACTGCCTGCCCTGCCAGCCTTAGGAGCAGCTGTCAGGAGAGATCAGCATCAGGCCTGAGCAGCACCTCCCCCACTCACCAGAGAGGCTGGGGAGGCAGGAGAGGCCTTGCCTGACAGTGGTCAGGAATCTTGGCCTGGACCAGGTACTGAGAGGGCCTCTGCAGCCCTGGTCCTGGCCCCATCCCTACCTCTGATGATTGAATGTCACCAATCAGCTCTCAGCAAAGGTGGGAAGGGATACCTTAACCACTACCCCTAACAGTGGCACTCCTTTTTCAGTTGGTTTCCGTTAGATCAACCACCCCTACCTTTGGAGAAGGTACATATCACTCCTTTCCCCAAGATGACATTCCTGCAGGGACTTTCCTACCCTCAGCTGGAAAATAATAATAGAAGGTTTGCATATTCTGATTAAGAAAGCTACTATTTTTTAAGCACATGATAGCAATATTCTAAGAACTTCACATATTATTATTTCATTTCACATTGATTATCTCAAAATGAAAAAAGGGCATATTTGCAGAATAGCATATAGAGTATTTATATATAGAAAGAATGGAAAAACACCCAGAAAACTTAACAGTGGCTCCCACTGGGCAATGGGCTAAGGATATGCTGGGAAAAAGGTCCTTTGTTTACTTAATGACCTACTGTTATGTAACAACCTTTGAAATTTTTACAGCAAATATGTAGAAAGAACTAAATAGAAGCTGCCATTTATTGTGCCCCTAACTGCCTAGCCCTGCCAGGTGCTGGGGGCACAGAGTATAGACACTGTTGTGGTTGTTAGGACCCCAGTCCTTCTAGGGGAGTACATGGGTACAAGTAGTGAGTTTGTGTCTCCCCTACAGAATTATGAGTTCAAGGGAGGGCAGAGGCTGGCTGGCTTATCACTTCTATATCTTTTTTTTTTTTTATCCTCACCTGAGGACATTTTTCCATTTTTTGTACAGATAGAGTGTGAGGGAGAGAGAGGAAGAGAGAGAGAGAGAGAGAAACATCGATGTGAAAGGGACACATCGAGTGGCTGCCACCCGCATGACCAACCAGGGCCGGGAACAAACTGCAACCGAGGTACATGCCCTTAGCAGGAACCGAACCCGGGTCTCTCCGGACCACAGGCCAACGCTCTAACCACTGAGCAAAACTGGCCTTCTATATCTTGTGCCAGCCCAGGGTAACCAGTGTTTGATGACATCAGGATGGTGGAGATGGGTCTGTTTATTGGGCTTTCCCTGACTGCCATAGGGACTGTTGTGGGAAGAAAGAGACAAAAACAAAACAAAACAGACAAAAAAAAAAAACCATAAAGGGAGGGCTCAGCATAGAGGAGGATTGTGGAGGACACATAGTGTAGAGTATGAGAACGTGAGGTGAAGGACAAAGCTGGAGAGGTGAAGACCATGTTGCAAATCTGGAGCCTACTGGTTCACAAATGTAAGAGCTAGACCTGTGGGGACCTGGTGAGCTGGTAGAGGGCTGTTACTAAACCCATTTTCAGAAATGGAAAACTGATACACTGAGACAGGAAGAAAGTCTTTCTCTCTCTCTCTCTTTAAATGAAAGGATATTAAGCCTCTTTTATTTATTTTTTCTTTTTTTCTTTATTGATTTTAGAGAGAGGAAGGGAGAGAGAGAGAGAGATAGAAACATAGATGAGAGAGAACATCGATTGGCTGCCTCCTGCATGCCCCTCACTGAGGATCAGGCCCACAACCTGGGCATGTGCCCTGATAGGGAATTGAACTGGCCACCTCCTGGTGCATGGGTCAACGCTAAACGACTGATCCACTGCGGCTGGGCAAGAAAGTCTCTTTTGAAAGAAGCAACTGTTGATCTGCACTCATTTTTGATGCCATGTGTGAAGGTGGGATGTGGTCAGCAGAGAACTGAGTTTATATATGAAATTAATAAATGATGACAATTAACACACACACACACACACACTATGTGGGTATCTGTGGGCCAAATTTAGACTTTAGGTCTTGATTACCAGTAAAATAGTGATAGGCTTTGAAGGCTGGTTTTTGGGGCACTGATAGAGATTTCCAGTTAGGTAACACAGAGAGGTAGGCTCTAGGAAGACCTCATAAAATTAAAGCAATAACTAAGCTCTACTTCATGTTATAGATTTCAAAATACTTAAAGGACCTCCTCCCAGCACTAAGGTCTAGGTGACCCCCATTTTAAAGAAGAAACAAGTTCAGAAAGGGGTAGAGTTTGGGCTCAGTCACACAGCAAGTGGATGCTAATTATAAAGTCCCGGGAGAGTCCCTGGCCTGGGCTGGCTGCTGCTGGCAATGATAATTGCAAACATTGAGTATGTTTCAGATGTTCTAAGAGGAAGGCTCTTAACCTGGGCACCAGAATTCAGGGAGCCCATAAACTTCGGGGGGGAAAAATATATATATATATATTTTCACTAACATCTAATCAAAATTTGCGATTTTCTTCCATATGGATAAAAGTGTTAGCAGTATTTATGCCTTTGTTACCAATGGAAATCACATATATTTTTATATCACATTGTAGTTACTGCAAGTACCTCAAAATATTTATGCTTATAACAATTTCAAAATCGTGATAGTTATTAACCCACTGTGAAATCACACTCTGGCCTGGTTGCAGAGCAGAGAGTTTGCACCCAGGACTCTGGCTCTGTAAACTACATGCTGCTCTCACTGTTCACTTTGCAGCCCCCCCCCCCTCAAATCCCCACCTGAGAATATTTTTCTGTTTATCATTAGGTAGAGTGGGAGGGAGGGAGAGGGAAGGGGAGAGAAAAACATCTCACATGGACTGGTTGCCTCCCGCAGGACCCAACCGGGGCTGAGGACAAACCGCAACCAAGGTACATACCCTTGACCAGTACCCTTGACCAGAATCGAACCTGACTCATTGGTCCGTGGGCCGACTCTCTAACCGCTGAGCCAAACCAGCCAGGGCTCAGTCACTTTTTTTTTTTTTTTAATAATTTAATTTTTTTTTTTTTTTTTTTGCTCAGATAGAGTGGCAGGGAGAGAGAGAGAGAGAGAGAGAGAGAGAGAGAGAGAGAGAGAGAGAAACATCGACGTGAAAGGGACACATCGAGTGGCTGCCTCCTGCACGACCAACCAGGGCCGGGGACAAACTGCAACCGAGGTACGCGCCCTTAGCGGGAACCGAACCTGGGTCTCTCTGGACCACAGGCTGACGCTCTAACCACTGAGCCAAACCGGCCAGGGCTCAGTCACTAAAGGTCAAGGTCTTGCCTTGGGAGGCCAGTTTGGAGCGGGGCCCTTGGCCGGCTCTGAAGTCACACTGGCCACACACTAGGGGCACCGCCCCTGGTCTAGCCGTCCTGCCCGGGGATGTCTGAAGGGCGGGCAGGAGGCAGACAGGCGCTGAGCCAATGGCTGTCTCAGCACCTCACCTGGCCAGCCACGTGGGCCCAGGTATGCTGGAGGCCCCGCCCCGGGCCCAGCCCGGCCCCTCCCCAGCCCTGGACTCTGGGAGCGGAAATTCCTGCGCTGGCGGGACTGAGCGGGCGCCGATCCCATCGGGTTGACTGGGCTCCGCCATGGAACCAGTAGAGACCTGGACACCCGGGAAGGTGGCATCCTGGCTGCGAGGTGGGTGGGGTCGGGGCAGAGTTGGGCTTGAGGGGGCGCTGGGACGGGAGAAGTAAAGGAAAAAGGGCTTGCTGAAGCTGTCAGTCTGTCAAGTATTTTATAAGCGTCTGCCCTGTATTGTGCTGGGCAGAGATGAGCCCGGGAGGCCCGAAGAGCCAGAGGGGTCTTCCGTTGCCCCAGCATCTCAAGAGGCTGCCAGGGTGGCGATGGGGAGGCGGTGGGTGAATGAAAATAGAGGGGGACGGCCTCAGCGGGGCCCGCGCCCACAGTATCTCCTTAATCCTCTCTCCGCCCCAGGGCGTAGAGGGCTGTTATTAAACCCATTTTTCAGAAGCGGAAACTGACGCACTGAGCCAGGAAGTGATTTGCTCAGGCTTTGGAATAGAGCCGACCCTTTTCCCCTCTCTCCACCGAGGCTTCCAGTGTGTGAAGCAGAAGTCCCAACCAGACGAAAGGGTTGGCACAATACCCCCCCCCCCCCCATCAAGGGGCCTCCAAGGGGCCCCCAGACTCAGTGAGCCCAGATGGATAGGAAAGGGCCCAGACTGTCAACAGACGCAGAGAAGTGCAGATCTCTGACAGGCAGGTGGGAGGGGAAGGTGAGTCAGGAAGTTTCTCCTAGAGGGGGAGGAGGAGTGGAGAGGCAGCATGAGTACACTAGGATCAGGCTCAGGGTGACCAGCCCCCATAAAAGCAGGGATTCAGGGTTGAATTCAGACTTCCAGACTGGGTTGCAGGCCCAGCTTCTCCCCTCACCAGTTCTGTGACCATAGGTCTCAGTTTCGCTCACCATAAAATGAGAATGGCAACTCAGGTGTCATGAAGTGCACAAAATGAGACAATAATGACAAGTGCCTAGGAAGTGTATGTAGCTCAATGTCAGGGTCTATTGGGAGGCAGCACAACACATTCACTGTACATGGGAAGAGGTTGTTCAGGGGCCCATAGCCATGGCTTTGCAGGTTTATGAACTCCTGTCCAGAGTTCTTACTGTCACACAGGGAATGAGGGAGAGCTGCTGATCACACACAGGTTCCCCGGGGAAGGAATCTGGCTTGCATGGAATGGGAGGAATTCCTTCAAAGAGTGAGCAAACTGTTAACCTTTATTTGTATCAATCAATTTTCCCATCTGTAAAATAGGAATAACTGGTCTCCACCTTCTAGATTCAGTGAGGATCAAATGTCTGAATGTCTATTTATTAGTTAATTTATATTCTTTAATTTAAAAAAAATTTTTTTAGAGAGTAAGGGAGAGAGAGATAGAAACATCGATGTGAGAGAGATACATTGATTGGCTGCCTCCTGCACACCCCCTACTAGGGACAGAGATCACAACCTGGGCAACCCTGACAGAAAATCAAACCAGGACCTCCCAGTCCACGGGGGTGGGGTGTGTGTGTGTGTGTGTGTGTGTGTGTGTGCGCGCTCAACCTGCTGAATTGTTAGTTTATTTTTAACCCTTGACAGAAGGATGGTCCTCCCTTCTATCTGGGAAGGTTGTCCTCTTCCACTGAGCATGCAGCTTCTGGAGGGATGCACATGGAGTGGTGAGGGAGGAAGGGGACACCCGCCTAGCCAACCAGTTCAGCTGAATCAACCCTGGTGATCAATGGGGTGAGAGATGTTGCAGCGAGATCACACTCACATCCTGAATGTGTTTAAAGCCCTTAAAATTTTGCCCAGCTCATAGTAAGCATTCAGTAGATATTTTTCTTGTTTTTGAGGGTCTACCTTATGCCAGGCAAGGGCTGGAATTAGAGATGAAGGGTTATTTAAGGCCCAGTCCTTGAAGAGCTCTTGATAAAGTGGGAGAGGCTGATGCTCAGTTGCAGGTGTTTCTGGAGACACGGGGGCAGTGGGAGCAGGAGGAGCCCCTGACCCAGCCTGCAGAGCTATGGAATGCTTCCTGCAGGGAGTTAGATGAAAAGGGAGTGCAGAAGCTGGAAGAGCTGTCCAGACAGAAGGAGTAGCACCTGCAAAGACCCTGAGACAGAAGAATGTTCTGGAGCTGCAGGGAATTAGTGCTCTGGATCTTAAGAGTTGATTTTTTTTTTTTTTGGTATGTGCCCCTAGTGGGAACCAAACCTGGGACTCTCTGGTCTGCAGGTCGATGCTCCAACCGCTGAGCCAAACTGGCCAGGGCTGAAGTGTTGATTTTGAGGGGCCCTGTCAAATGATGAGAGAGGCACCTCGGGCAGCCTGACCATACCAGGTTGCAAGGGTTACTGATGGTCTACCATAAACCTGGAAATGGGCCAAATGTTTGACATGTATCATGTCATTTACACCTGATTAGAAGGTAGGTGCTTTTATTGTCACCATTTACAGGTGAGGAAGCAGGCACAGAGCAATTAAGTTACTTGCTCAAGTGTTGGCACTCAGGCCTCCCTGAGTACAAAGCCCCATATTCTTTTTTTTTTTTTTTTTTTTATCCTCACCCGAGGACATTTTTTCCATCCTTTGTTCTGATAGAGCGGAGGGAGAGAGAGGAAGAGAGAGAGAGAGAAACATCGATGTGAAGGGACACATCGAGTGGCTGCCACCCGCACAACCAACCAGGGCCGGGGACAAACTGCAACCGAGGTACGTGCCCTTAGCGGGAACCGAACCCGGGTCTCTCAGTACCGCAGGCCGACGCTCTAACCGCTGAGCCAAACCGGCCAGGGCAAAGCCCCATATTCTTACTCCCTATTCAGTAGACAAGCGAGCATCCAAACACCTGGAGGATTTGTTAAACTGTGAACTACTGGGCCCTACCCCTGAGTTATTTAGCAGGCATGGGGTGGAGCAACAATTTTGTATTTCTAACTAGCTCTCCAGTGAGGTTGCTGCTGCTGCTGCTGCTGCTGCTGCTGCTGCTGCTGCTGCTGCTGTTGGTCTGGGGACCACCCTTTGAGAGCCACTGCCCTAAACTATCCTACTTTTCAACTTAGTAGCCTCATCTGTGAAATGAACAGAACACAGCCTTGGTCTCAGGGTTGTTATCAGGAACAGATGGGAGGGGAAAGGGCTTTATGGGAGTGAAGAAGTGACCAGAAAGGCCCTGACACCCCTGGCTCCCCCATGCTGACCCCTGCTGTCCCTCCAGGCCTCGATGATTCCCTGCAGGACTACTGCTTTGAGAACTGGGAGCTGCCTGGCAAGTACCTCCTCCAGCTCTGCCCCCGTAGTCTTGAGGCTCTGACCGTGTGGCCTCTGGGCCACCAGGAGCTCATCCTGGAAGGGGTGGAACAGCTCCGAGCCCTGGTGAGTGAATGATGGCACACTGGCTGCAGCTTCCACCCCGCTGGGGGTATCTGATGGGCTGGCCACTGCCAGGAAGGTGACCTGCTCTCTCTGGCACAGAGCTCTGGGCTACAGACAGAGAACCTGCAGAGCCTGACAGAGGGGCTGCTGGAGGGGACCCGTGTCTTCCAGAGCTTAGCCCAAGGCCGCCTGGGGAGCTGTGCTGAGCCCCCTGCCGATGTCCTCAGTGCAGCTGTGGACCTGGTGCATGAGGCCCGTACCCTCCTCTTCTGGCTCAACAGGTACCTCAGGCTCCTCCTAGGGTATGGGTTTGGGTGAGTGGTGAGGGGACCTTTCTCATCCCTGGCCTCCTCAGGGCCTAGGAAAGAAAAACAGCTTGGCTCTTGCTCAGATATGATGGAGCAGGGCAAAGAGGGTAGTTGGTCTGTGCAGGGCCACTGGGACTCCTGGCCGCCCCTCCCCCCCCCAGCTTGTAATCATAGCAGTCATATCAACAACATTGCATAGAAAGCTTCTCCTCGCCCTGGTCAGTGGGGCTCAGTTGGTTGGATATCGTCTCATGCACCAGAGGGTTGCTGGTTTGATTCCATGTCAGGGTACATGCCTGGGTTGTGGGCTCAATACCTAGTAGGGGGCATGCAGGAGGCAGCCAGTCAATGTTTCACTCTCACATTGATGTTTCTCTCTCTCTCTCTCTAAAAATCAGTAAAAAATATATTTTTAAAAAAGCTTCTCCTCCCCCTTCATTGGTTGCTGCTTGTTCCACGGGTCCCAGCACAAGTGTCACCTCCTCAGGGAAGCCTTCCCTGTTATATACCCTCAGAGCTCCCTACACTTCACAGCAGTTGAAGTAAATCATTATTGATGGAATTATGTGTTTAACTTTTGTCTCCCTAGTGCCTAAACAGAGCCTGGCAGTGTTAGGTGCTTGACAAACAAGTCCTGTGCTGAGCTCTTTAGTGGTATCAATAATCTCCTTTACCCCAAACCGAAACCTATTAGAGTAGATATTATTCCCATGCCTCAGATGAGTAGTTGGCTTTGAGTGGTTTTGTAAACCTGACTGTTAAGCAGTCTGCTAAACACTGTTCCATCCTTCCCCCTGCCAGGTACCTCTTCACCCACTTAAACGACTTCTCAACCTGCCAGGAGATCGGGGAGTTGTGCAGGAAGCTGGGCCAGGCCTTGCAGGAGGTAGGAGAACCAGGGGCCAGACTTGGCCCGGGCTATAGAGACCAAGTCAGGCGAGAGCTTTTTATAGCCCGTGAATCAGCACAAGATCGGGTGTGAGGGCAGGAAGAGGTGAGAGCAGGAAGAGAGGTACCAGCCACTGGGTAGGGGAGCAGTGGGTGAATGGGCTCTCCCACCTGACAAGGCACTCCTGGAAGTTTGACTCTCAGGAGTGGGGGAGGAGAGGGCATGTGTGATGACTTCTGGGGGGCCTGGTGTCAGGGGGGAGAACTTGGGGCCTAAATTCTGAGGCTATGTAGTTCTGGGAAGGGGGTTAGGGTATGGGAGGCAGGAAGGGACTGCAGGGAACCCACCCTGCCCTCCAGAGAAGGCAGTGCCCCCCTTCAGGGAAGGCCCCTGTTCTCACTGCTTTCAGGACTGTCCAGCAGCTGAGAAGGAGAGCCAAGTCCTGAGGATTGTAAGTGTGTGTGTGGTGGGGGTCAGGGGGGAGGTGCAGTGGATGGGGCTCAAGCTGGACATCGTGCTCCCCGTTCCCCAGTGCAGCCACGTGGCCGGGATCTGCCATAACATCCTGAGCTGCAGCCCCCAGGAGCTGCTGGAGCAGAGGGCTGTGCTAGAGCGTGTGCAGCTGGACGATCCTCAGGTGAGCTCTGAACTCTTACCTCTCACCTTTTAAAAAATTTTTATTTATTGATTTTTTAAGAGAGAGATTGATTTGTTGTTCTATTTATGTATTTATTATTATTATTATTTTAATTTTTTTTTTCTTTATTGATTTTAGAGAGAGAGAAAGGGAGAGGGAGAGAGAGAGAGAAACATCACTGAAAGAGAACATTGATTGGCTGCCTCCTGCATGCCCCACACTGGGGATCAGGCCCACAACCTGGGCATGTGTCCTGACTGGGAATCGAACCGGCAACCTCTTGGTGCATGGGTGATGCTCAACCACTAAGCCACACCGGCCAGGCCTATTTATGTATTTATTGGTTGCTTCTTGCATGTGCCCTGACCAGAAATCAAACCCTCAACCTTGGCGTATAGAGATGATAGTCCAACCGAGCTACTCGGCCAGGGCTCACTTCTCACCTCTTGGCAGCATGGCCTGGGCCCTGAAACATGGTTCCAGGATCCCTCAGAATCCTATACTGTTACAGCTAGAAGGCCTTTGGCCTTTTTTTTTTGGTTAATTCTCACCTGAGGCTATTTTTCCATTAATTTTTAGATAGAGTGGACTCATCGATTGGTTGCCTTCCGCACAACCCTGAACTGGGCCGGCTATCGAGCCTGCAACCTAGAGATGTGCCCTTGACCGGGAATTGAACCCAAGACCCTTCAGTTCCAGGGCCGATGCTCTAACTGCTGAGGCACACCAGCTAGGGAAGGTTTTTTTTTTTTTTAATCCTCACCCGAGGATATTTTTTCCATTTTTTTGTACAGATAGAGTGGGAGGGAGGGAGAGGAAGGGAGAGAGAGAGAGAAACATCGACGTGAAGGGACACATCGAGTGGCTGCCACCCGCATGACCAACCAAGGCCGGGGACAAACTGCAACCAAAGTACGTGCCCTTAGCGGGAACCGAACCCGGGTCTCTCCGGACCGCAGGCTGACGCTCTAACCGCTGAGCCAAACTGGCCAGGGCAGGGCAGGTTTTTTTTAAACTTTTTTTCTTTATTGATTTTATAGAGAGAGGAAGGGAGAGGAAGGCAGAGATAGAAATGTTGATGAGAGAGAACATCAATTGGCTGCCTCCTGCATGCCCCCCACTGGGAATTGGGCCCACAACTTGGGCATGTGCCCTGACTAGGAATCGAACTGGTGACCTCTTGGTGCTAGATCGATGCTCAACCACTGAGCCACACTGGCCAGGCAGCAGACCTTTTTTTTGTACAGATGTTAAAGGCCCAGAGGACTTTCCTGGGGTCTCAGTGTTACTCATCACCTCCCCCAATCCTCCAGTGACACATTCTAGCCCTGAGATCTAGATCTAGAAGATTAGGGGAGAAGACATGAACTTTTCTGCTTTAATCTCTCCAGTGGGGGAAACCAGTGCTGTCCCTGCTTATGCCTTTAGGAGAGTTGCTGAGAATTTCATACCTCACAAGTCAGCAGCCCCAACTTCCCTCTGACCCCATTGGAGGAGGAGGTACAGGCCCACAGAGAAGGAACAACTCCAAAGTCACACAGCAAGTTGGGCAGTGCCAGCTTGGGGCCCGCTCTTTCCCCAGTTCTACCCACCCAAGAATTCTGTTCCCCACGGTGGGTCCTGCTCACTGGCCTTGCTGTCCCCACACCCTCAGTGACTGCAGCCTCTGCCTTCACAGGGCCTGGAAATCCATACTACCAGCAACTGCCTGCATTTTGTGTCCCGAGTGGGCACCCAGGTAAGAACCTTTTCAGCTTCCCATCCCCCAAGAGCCTTTTACCTGCCAGCCAAGCCAGCTTCAGGCCCCAGGAGTGTGCGCCCTCTGAGCACCCCCGTCCCCCAAACCAGGTCCCTTCCAACTTCCGGCTGCAGATCCTGCCTGGAGATGAGATTGTTCAAATCAATGAGCAGGTGGTGGTGAGTGAGGAGAGGGACATGGTGGGAGTGAAGGCGTACTGGGTAGAACCCAGGGATGGTGGGTTGGGAGGGACTCTGGGTGAGACCAAGGTGTGGGATTTGCCTTACATGATGTGAGCCAGCTCACACGGGCCGGAGTGGCCTCAGCAGAGCCAAGGTGAAGGGGCTCATGGAGGCATCCTGGAGGAGGAGGATGTGAGGCAGAGAAGGTTGAGAGTGCTCCAAGGGAGAGCGCTGCTGGGTTGCTTCAGAGCCTCCTGCCAGCTTGATCCAGCCCGGTGTCCCTGTCCTGTCCCCCAGGTGGGCTGGCCCCACAAGAATGTGGTGAGGGAGCTGTTTCGGGAGCCAGCCAGGGTCAGCTTAGTGCTGAAGAAGGTTCCGGTACCGGAGACACCCCCACAGGTACCTGCCGCCTGACCCTGCCCTCAGCCTGCTTTCAGATTCCTGTTGCCAGCTTCATCACCTGTTTCTGGTTGTTCCCAGACCCCTCCTCAGGCCCTGGGCTCCCCACAGCTGAGGGTCCCATTGCTGCCTCTGGCTCCACTGTCTTTCAGGTAACAGGCTCTGCCCTAGGTGTGTCTTGGTGGGGGAGCCATGGGCTCATCTCATCTCCCCTTACTCTCCTCTCCCCAGGTCCCCATCCGAAGACATCTTTGCCTTCAACCTGACTTCAAACCCAAGTCCTGGGCCCAGCCCTGCCTCAATAGGTAGTTTCAAAGTCCCACAAGTTGGTAATGCCCCAGGAAAGATATCTGGGGTACCTGGTTCTGATCCCTGGACTCTGATATCCCCATCCTACTGCTGGGCCTGGGGCTGGGCTCATGAACTCTCCTCTCTTCTTCCCTGACAGACTCTGCCTCCCTTGACCCTGAGCCCCTGTGCAACACCCCTGCACCCCCAGCCACACGCCCCACAGGGGTAGCAGCAGAGACTCGTGGACCCTCAGTAGACAAGGTAAACTGAGGGGCTCAGCAAGGAGGAGCGTGGTTCTGGACCCAGACCCTTCTCTAACCCCCTATGGTCCTTTCAGAGTCCTGCCCCTGGGCGGAAGAAATCAAAAGGTATGAGATGCACCCGACTGTGTGGGGGTCCCCTGACATGAAGAGCTCTTAGAAGTCTTTACAGTGCTGGGCAAGACCACCCCCCATACACACACTGCACACGCAGCCTTTTCTGGAAAGAGCTCTGTTTCTTGGGTCAGCAGACCTGTGCTCTTATCCTGGGCTTCTCGTAAACTCTGTGACTTTGAGCTAACAGCTTGTCCCCTGTTCTTCAATTTCCTCACCTCTAAAATGGGGAGATTCATTCCTCAGAGCTGACAGGTGCAGCATTCCAAGCACACATTGTGGGTTCAGAAATATCAGCTGGGGATGCTCTCATGGTGGGCCAGGGAGCAGATCTGGGGGTCCAGGATGCCTTGCCAGCCCCTCACTGACCCAGCTGTGCTATGCTGCTGCAGGTGTGGCGACGCGGCTGAGCCGCCGGCGGGTGTCATGCCGGGAGCTGGGCCAGCCAGACTGCGATGGCTGGCTCCTGCTGCGCAAGGTGCCCGGGGGCTTCATGAGCCCTCGCTGGCGCCGCTGCTGGTTTGTGCTCAAGAAACACACGCTCTACTGGTACCGCCAGCCCCAGGTGAGACCCTCCACGCACATGTAAGCAGGGCCACTGTTCTTGTTCCTGCTCCACCATTTGCTCCCATCTGTGGTCACAGGTGGGCCACAAACCCCCATGAGCCCCAGTGTTCCTTCTCTAAAATGGGGACACTCTTCAGAGAGAAATGAGCTGTGTGTGTAAAAGCACATTTCCTTCCTCTGCTGTTATTCTGTCCATCCCAGTGATAAGCCGTTCGTTCGCTTGTGTATTCATTCAGCAAACATTCAGGTACCTGCTGTATACTCAGCTCCGGGCTGGGCACTGAGGACACAGGGAAGACTTGGACAGTCCTTGCTACTCCAGGCTGGTGGGGGAGAGGGTGAATATACACTTGAGGACAGTACGGGGAAGACATGCTCTGATGAAGGAAAAGCCCGGGGTGGTGGGGGAGCCCTCAGAGGTGGCCATTCCAGCCTGAGAAGGCTTCCTGAGAAATCAGCGCCTGAGGGTTAGCCGAGGGGAAGGAGAAGGCAGGCCAGAAGGGAGAAGAGTCTGTGCAGAGCCTGTGCAGAGCCCAGTGGTGTGGAGCAGCTTTGTCTGTGCCTGGTGACGGAACAAATGCAGGAGAGGCTCCTCTTTTGTGGCTCTCCCTGATCTCTTTGGCTCCCCTTTTCTGGCTCAAAGGTCACCCCCCTGCCCCCACCCCAGATTCTTGCCCTGAGCTCCAGACACTGAGAGGTTTGTAGTTAGTTAGAGAGCCCAGGAGATACCCTTTGTGGGAAGTGACCTCAGGAGCCTGACTAGACCTCAGGAGTGTTGGGGCTTCATGCTGAACCTCACTGTGATCCCCCCAGGATGAGAAGGCTGAGGGCCTCATCAATGTCTCCAACTACAGTCTGGAAAGTGGACATGATCAGAAGAAAAAATAGTTAAGTCCTGTGTGTGATGGGCTGGGGGTGGTGGGAAGAGAAAGGAAGATATAAGGTGACGGTAGGGGTGAGATGGGGGCAGCAGGGGGCTGGGATTCCCAGTGCAGTCTCTCTGGGTTCCAGATGGGCACACCGGGCTGACTGAGGTCTCTCTGCTCCCTGGCAGTGTGTTCCAGCTCACCCATGATGTGTACAAACCCTTCATCTTCGCTGCCGATACCCTGACAGATCTGAGCATGTGAGTGCCACCATCCCCACCCCCGAACTCCCATAGAGTCAAATCTCAGCTCTCTGATAGTGTTGACTAAAGCACTCACTTCTCTAAGCCTCAGTTTCATCATCTATAAAATGAAACTAATGAGAGTTCCTACCTCTCCGAGTTGCTCTGAGGATTAAAGTAGAAGATCATATAGGGGAAGGGCCTTGGCACACAGTGAATGGAAATTCCCTGAGACCCAGTTACCCCTCCACAGGTGGGTGCGCCATCTCATTACCTGTATTTCCAAGTACCAGTCTCCAGGCCGGGCTTCCCTACCCCAAGAGGAAGGTGGGTGTCTCACAGGGGTGAGTCTCACTGTGTCTCACACAAACCTCTGCCTCCTGGGGTGGGGGCTGGGAACTCAAATGCCCTAACCCACTTCCTGGCCTCTCATAACCCTGAGGAGCTTAGTGGGTTCCCCAAATGCTCCTGTCCATCCCAGACTGCTACAGTGAGACGGAAGCAGAAGACCCTGACGATGAGGCTGGGTCCCGCTCAGCCTCGGTGAGTAGGGGACTGGTGGGCGGTGAATAGCAGGGCATAGAGCTCAGACTGACACCTTCCTCTTCTTCTACCCTGCCCACAGCCCAGCCCTGCCCAAGCTGGGAGTCCATGCCATGGGGACACATCACCTGCAGCCAGCCCCATGCAGGGCAGCCCACAGACCTCCTTAGGCCTTCCAACAGGTGCAGTGCTGGGCGCGGGAGCTGAGGTGGAGGGCTGGGGCAGGGACGGGCCACCCTCATCCTGCTCTCCCCTCCCACAGACGACGGTGAAGGGGCATTGGAAGGAATGGTACGGGGGCTGAGGCAGGGTGGGGTGTCCCTCCTGGGCCAGCCACAGCCCTTCACCCATGAACAATGGCGGAGCTCTTTCATGCGGCGCAACCGTGACCCCCAGCTCAACGAGCGGGTGCACCGTGTGCGGGCACTCCAGAGCACACTCAAGGTCAGCTGGGGGGCACTGGGCACGGCAGGGGGCTGGGCTCGATGCTTTTGGCTCTGGTTCCTGGCCCATAGCTTTGGGCTCAGCTGTGGACTGGGCAGAGTGCTAGGTTCCTGATTTGAGTACCAGGGCTATGCTGGGCCAGGTGCCAGGTTCTAGGCACAGACTCCAAAGTTAGCTCTGGGCTCAGACTCTGCTACCCTCCCTGGGTGAACATGGCCCCTCAGCCCTACTCTCCTCACAGGCAAAGCTGCAGGAGCTGCAGGCCCTGGAGGAAGTGCTGGGCGACCCCGAGTTGACTGGAGAGAAGTTCCGACGGTGGAAAGAGCAGAACCAGGAGGTCTACTCAGAGGGCCTGGAGGCCTGGGGAGTGGTGCAGGCTGAGGGCAGCTCCCAAGTCCTGACCTCTGACTCCAGAGAACATTCTCCTCAACCCCTGCCCTCTGACCCTGAGGAGCACTCCCATCTCTGCCCCCTGACCCCGGAGAACAACCTCCAACCTTCTGACCTCTGACCCTGGCCAGCACCTAGCTCCTGACCTCTGGCCTTGAGGACCACCTCCATCCCTCAGCCTCTCACATGCCTAGGACAGAGCATCCTTGGGTTCTGTTCAAGGTTAGAAGTAGAAGTGGTCCATTGTTTCACCCCAAGCTACCCCCCCCTCTGCCTGAATGTCCACCATTTCTGCTCCCTCCTTCTCTGGAGCAGGGTAAAGCGAGCTCTGTGCCACCCTCTCCCCCCTTGGCAATGAAGGAATGGGATGCCGGGCTGAAAGAAACTTCCTCCGATCCATCCTCTGATCTGTGGGGGCATAAAGCTGCCCTCCTCGGTCCTTCAGCACTTCTCCCCTCCCCAAACCAGTCTGTACAGGTGTTCTTCACTTTACACGAGAGACACTGTTCAACCAAATAAAGTCAATTTCTGTAATGCGAATCTATGTGTGCCTTTGACTTCCACAGTAGAATCAGGAGTCTACTCCCCAGGGGGACTGGATGAAAAACTATCAGACGGGGTGAACATTCTTGGTAACTAGCCCGCTGACTGGGCGGCCCCCTGGCTTGGGCTCTGTATGAAGCTCCTGCCTACCAGGATGAGGATTGCTAGTCCATGGCTCAAAAGGGCTTCTACACATGCTCAACTGTCCCCAGCCCCTTGGAGACCAGAGGGTGCTTTCCTGCCCCATCTCAGGGGGGGACAAATTAAGAAATAGAGACCAGCCTTTCACTCTCTAGATGGGAAACATACCTTGCATGGAAGAGCAGGGTGGGCTCCTGGAGACCTGGGTGATGAGATGGGGTAGCCAGTGGGGCGGGGTACAGGCTGTGGTCTGCAAGGAGGAAGGCCCTGAGGTGAAACATTTGTCTCCTCTCCTTAGCCCAGTGTCACCTCCAGCTTCTGATCCAGAGTAGGAACACACCCCTGTCTCCATCCAGGTTGTAGAGGTGACCTGACTTGCTTCCATCAGACTCTAATGTCTGACCCCAGCCAAAGTCCTTAGTGTTCCTGGCTTCCTCTGTGGGGTACTGAGGGGGTTCAGTGGGAGGAGCGTCTCTCAAGATTGGAATTCCTGGGTGGAATGCAAATGGCTGGAGGTCACAGAGGCCTCTATGATATCACCACGAGGGGGAGCAAGACCGCTTGGAATAAGGTTTCTTTGAAGAGTGGAAGGAGACTGAGCAACTATGACTGATAACTGGTGGCAGCAAAGGCTCAACACCATTAATATCAAATCTTTGAATGTCATGGTATGTGGCCCCTGCCTGGTTCCACCACTTAATCTGGGCATCCCAGTGTCGGGTGGGGCACAGGAGGACTGTACTGAGTCCAGAGGGGCAGAGGCTGCGCTGATGGCCCCTCTCCTCACCGTTTCAGAGGCCCACTCACGAGCTCTTCGTCCGGCCAGAGGAGCAAGTGCTCATCAACTGCCGAGACATCACTAGCAGAAACGTAAGGACAAGGCTGGGCTGCATCCAACCTCACCCCCACAGTGACCCTTTTCCAGCTGCACCCAGGAGGCAACAGCCCTCATGATAACTGTTGTCTCTTTTGCCTTCTAAAGGTCCTTCCAGAGGACATTCCCCAGCAGTAACCCTGCTGTCATGAGTCCCAGAAAGATCCCCCAGCAGTGAGCCCTTTAGGTAGTGACTTCTACACTGATACCCCATTCCATGATTCCCTCTTAGCTACCCGCCCCCCCCCCCCCAGAGTGGCTTTCCTCAGGGAACCCCATTCACTGAGAGCAAACATCCAGGCAGAGGCCTCCTTGGTGACACCTGCCTGAAGGAAGGTCCTCCGCCCTCTCCCAGGATGCCTGGGAAATACAGGAGTTCATCACTCGAATATGTGTCAAGCAACTGCTCCGACACTGGGCGTTTCAGCTGCTGCTGGCCACGCTGCTGGTGGTCAACGCCATCACCATTGCGCTCCGCACCAACGTCATCCTTGGCCAGGTGGGACTCTAGCCTGACTTCTGCAACTACTGATCTAATGGGGGGCCTGGGTAAGGCACTTCCCTCTCTGGGCCTCTGGCTCCGCATCTGTCCGTGATGATTGGATTGGCTGCTCTTCAAGGGCCTGTCAGCTCTGACCTTCCAGGGATCTAGAGATAAAAGAAGACATGTGGTAGAGGGGCCCAACTTTCAGGAATACATTGCATTATACAGGAAGGGCAGGAAAAATGGTGTGAGCAGAGGCAGGCAAACAGATGTGTTGTAGGGAAGGGTATCCCATTTTATTTATTTATTTTAAGATTTTAAAATTGATTTTTAGAGAGAGAGGAAGGGAAAAGGAGAGAGAGAAACATCAATGTGAAAGACAAACATTGAACCCAGCCAGTGTGGCTCAGTGGTTGAGCATCAACCCATGCACCAAGAGGTCGCCGGTTCAATTCCCGGTCAGGGCACATGCCCAGGTTGTGGGCCCAGTCCCCAGTGGGGGCATGCAGGAGGCGGCCAATCGATGTTCTCTCTCAGCGATGTTTCTATCTCTATCTCCCTCTCCCTTCCTCTCTCTCTAAAATCAATAAAAAAAAAAAAGTTTAAATGAATAAATAAATAAAGAGAAACATTTATCAGCTGCCTCCTGCACATCCCCTACGGGGGATCGAGCCCCCCAACCTTTTGATACATGAGACACTGCCCAACCAACAGAAGAACCATACCAACCAGAGCAAGGGTATCCACTTTTATTATTATTTTTTTAAATTTTGAACTATTTTTTAAATGTTTCTTTAAAAAATTTTTTTTCCTATATTGATTTGGGAGAGAGAGAGAAAGAAGGAGAGAGAGACAGAAACATCGATGAGAGAGAACATTGATGGGCCACCTCCTGCATGCCCCCTACTGGAGATTGGGCCCACAGCCTGGGCATGTGTCCTGACTGGGAATTGAACCAGCAACCTCTTTCTTTTTCCTCACCCAAGCCATTTTTCAATTTTTTGTTCAGATGGAGTGGGAGGAAGAGAGAGAGAGAAAAACATTAACATGAAAGGCACACATCGAGTGGCTGCCACCTGCACAACCCAACCAGGGCTGGGGACAAACTGCAACTGAGGTACATGCCCTTAGCGGGAAACGAACCCGGGTCTCTCTGGACCGCAGGCCGACTCTCTAACCGCTGAGCCAAACTGGCCAGACAAGGGTATCTCATTTGAATCAATAGTCAGTAAGAGAGAATCACTTTGTGCCAAGCACTGTACTCAGTGCCAGGGTTCCAGGTATGAACCCAACATACCCAGTTCTGTCTCAGACAGACACAAACATGTCATTGTAAGTGCCTGAATAGCAGAGCACATGGAAGCTCAGAGAAGGCATCAAACCTGATGGGTCGAGGAAAGCTTCCTGGAGAAAGGGACACTTAAGCTGAAGCTAAAGAATGAGTATAAGCCCAGCTGATGTGGCTCAGTGGATTGAGCGGCATCTCATACACCAAGAGGTCATCGTTTGGATTTTTGGTCAGGGAGCATGCCCAGGTTGCGGGCTTGATCCCCAGTAGGGGGCTTGCAAGAGGCAGCCAATCAAAGTTACTATCTCTTCCTCTCCCTATCTTTCTCTCTAAAAAAATCAATAAAAACACATTTAAAAATAAAAAAAGAATGAGTAGAAGTTGGCCAGGCAGAGAGAGGTGAGGAGGAGTGTCTGGGGGCAGAAGAAATAGCATGTGTGTTCTGTGTCCAACTCGAAGTCTAGTGTTACTTTGGTCTCATCCTTGCTATTTTTATCTTACATGGAGTATACTAATTACATGGATTGTGCTATTTAAAAGTCAATACTTTTTAAAATGTCCAATGTGGTGGCTGATGAGTTCAGAAAGGTGGTCAGCAGCAGGCTCCTTACATTATGTCAAGGAGGGGGCCTTTATCCAATGTCATTGGAAAGCCAGGGAAGGGTTTAAAGCATGGAAGTCACATGACCAGGCACACGCTGAGAAAACACTGGCTGCCACACTGTGGATGGGAGGGTTTCAAGAATGGGAAAAGGTGAAGCAGGCAGCACTGTGTTGGAGATGTTCAGGTGAAAGGTGGTGGGGCTTGGACCGGGCCTCTGGCAGCAGGTAAAAAGACCACATGCATCTGAAGTCCCCTAGGAGTCGGATCCATGGGCCTAGCAGATTGATTTTAAGCCCTTAGTGAGCACTGACATGTACTGCCTTGTTTAACATCTGTCATCATCTCACACACAGAGCAAGGGAGAGCAGGAAGTTGGGTTTCTGGCTTGAGCAACTGTGTGGGGATGGTGCTTTTTGTTGGGATATGGGGGCATAGGATGAGCAGGTTTGGGGAGGGTGCTGAGTTCAGTCTGAGTTGTGTAGTGTCTGACGTGCCCATGCAATAGCCACACAGAGATAGTGAGGGGTTATAGGTCAACTCTGGAACACCGCAGAGAACACTGGGGTGGAGTGGTGACATCAGAGTTGCCAGCATCTGGGTGGATAGTTGCCGAAGCTAAAGAAATGGATGAAGCTGCCCAGGGAGAGAGAATTGAGCGAGAAGAGAAGAGGCCAACACAGAGCTCTGAGGAGAGCTTACAAGTAAAGGGCAGAAAGGGGCGGAGACGGTGCAGAGGGAGACAGAGGAGCAGGAGGGACAGTGGAGTGGGAGGGAGACCAGGATAGTGCTCTCAGGGAGCAGGCACATGGCAGACGTGACTAAGAGACAAGCAGTAAGGACTATGAAGCATCCCCTGGTCAAGTAGCTTCATGACCTTGATGAGAGGTATCTCTGATGTGGTGGAGGCAGAAACCCAATTGCCAAGGTTTGGAGAATGAGTGGACTGGAGGGCAGATCACACACAATGTGAATCAGGGTACAGATCCTAACATTAGGATATAGAATGAAATAGTAGGATGAAAAAGAATCAAATAGAAATTATCTTTGTGGGGGCGGGGAGAGATGTTGTAAGATGTAAAATATATTTCTTACTATGGGTCCCAATCAAAAGTGGTAAAAGCATTGGTATAGGATACGTGTCCATGGAGGTCAAATCCTAGGGGCCTATGAATGCCAGTCTGGTTTTGAACCTCACCCTGCAGGCCATAGAGAACCATACAAGTCTTGTGGGTAGAGAAGGCAACTCTGGTCTAGCTATAGATGCCCATGACTTGGAGAGGCCAAGAGGACAATTTAGGAAATTCTTTCTATAAATAATGAGGAAAGCATATTGCCTTTAGTGGCCAGTGGGGTGGAACTGAGATGAAGGGACAGAAAGCTCTTCCTTGTTGTAGGTAGACATCCCTGGCCCATGATGCTTTTTGAGAATTTGGAACAGGCAGGGAGCCCATAAACTTTAACCTCACAATTGGATTTAAGAAGCTCTGCCCAGCTGGTAGATGGGGGTGGTAGCAAGGCGTGGGTAGCAAGAGGCCTCCACGTGTGGCAGAGCACCTTGGGGCAGAATCTGTTGGCCATGCAGGTGAAGAAAGGAAGGAGTCCAGGTGACTTTGGTAACTGTCAGGGTAGAGCTAGGGGGCTGGGAGCTGTTAATAGGGTCACAGACTATAGTGGTGTCACAGCTTAATGGGAGCTAAGGGAGTAGGATCTAGGTTGGGTGAAAGTGATCTGGGGGTTTAAGCAGAATTCAAAGTCATCAAAGTCATCAGTTCACAATCCAGCCAGCCAGGGAACATGTCCTGGGGAGATACCCAGGAGTTTGGTCAGACTGGCCTGGGGGTTTGGGACCTGGGGTAGCTTGGGACAATCAGAGGAGAAAAGATGGAACTTGGTGTCCTCCATCTCAGGGGCCAGGGCTTTTCCTCCCAGTTCTGAAGCCAGTTCTGCCTCTCTCCCACCTCCCTTGTTCAAATATCCTCACTCTAGAGGAGCAAAGGTTTGTAGTCAGACAGCAGTCTTCACTGCTAGCTGTCTGACCTTGGTCACCTCTCTTTTCTCACCTGTAAGATGAAAATTCAGCCTGCTTTGTAGGATGATGGTGAGGGTAAAGTGAAGTGATGCTTGTGTGGTCTTAGCCTGGCTCCTGGCATATACATGCAAAGTGTGCTCTAGTGGAGCTACAAAGATGCAGAGGAAGAAGAGCAGCAGGGATGTGGGCCTTCCCTCCCCCCGGACATCCTCTCACTCTGGCTCAGCCCAGTTCCCTACTCTACTGACCTCTCTGTCCCTCTCTTTTTCTCTGTCTTCCATGTAGAAACACTATGAGTTGTTCTCTACCATAGATGACATTGTGCTGACCATCCTTATCTGTGAGGTTCTCCTTGGCTGGTTAAATGGCTTCTGGATTTTCTGGAAGGTGAGATCCTGGGCCCTCCCTGCCATTGCTCCTATCCCTCCTTAGGAACTGCAACCCACCCAGTCCCCATCCCTGTGCTCCTGGCCCTGTAGACTGAGGTGTGTGTGTGTGTGTGTGTGTGTGTGTGTGTGTGTGTGTGTGTGTAGAGAGAGAGAGACAGAGACAGAGACAGAGACAGAGACTGACTACTTCTGACATGTCTGATACAGTGACTTGTACTAGAAGTGCAGCCTCCTTGGGTTCCAGTCCCTGCTCCAGCCTTCCCCCATTCTGTGATTCTGGGAAAAACTTGAAGTCCTTATAGAAGAAATGAGATTGAAAGCATTCACCTTAATTTACAGGGTTCGAGAGTAGGAGCCAACAAACTTTTTCTATAAAGGGCCAGCTAAATGTTTAAGCTTCGTGGGCCCTCCAGTCATCAGTGCACACACACCTCTACTTTGGGAGCACTAAGAAGCATGGACAGCCTTGGCCAGTTTGGCTCAGCGGTTAGAGCGTCCACCTGCGGTCCGGAGAGACCCGGGTTCGGTTCCCGCTAAGGGCGCGTACCTCGGTTGCAGTTTGTCCCCGGCCCTGGTTGGTCGTGCGGGTGGCAGCCACTCGATGTGTCCCTTTCACATCGATGTTTCCCTCTCTCTTCCTCTCTCTCCCTCCTACTCTATCTGTACAAAAAATAGAAAAATGTCCTCGGATGAGGATTAAAAAAAAAAAAAAAAAAAAAAGAAGAAGCATGGACAACACATAGCTGAATAAACATGGCTGTGCTCCAAATAACCTCATTCAAGGACACCAAGATTTGAGCTTCATATAATTTGCACGTGTCACCAAATATTATTCTATTGATTTCCCCCCTAACCATTAAAACCAGAATTCTTAACCTGAGGGTTTTACAAAAAAAAAAAAAAAAAAAAGAGCTGCTGGCCAGATTTGGCCCCTGGCCTAGTGTTTGCTGACCCCTGTTCTGGAGAGTATCAAGGAGCTGTCTGGGTGGCAATGGGTCTGAAAGTTACATTAAATGAGGCAAAGATTCAAACTCTTTGTTTGAATAGGACTTCTGGAGTCAAGGGATTTATTTTGCCTTTGGGCATGTTCAAGAAAAAGTTTTTTGTTTTTTTTTATCACCCTCACCCAAGGACATTTTTCCATTTTTTGTTCAGGTAGAGTGGGAGGGAGAGAGAGAAACATCGATGTGAAAGGGACACATCGAGTGGTCGCCACCCGCACAACCAACCAGGGCCGGGGACAAACTGCAACTGAGGTACATGCCCTTAGTGGGAACCGAACCTGGTTCTCTCCGGACCGCAGGCCAATGCTCTAACCACTGAGCCGAACCAGCCAGGGCCAAGAAAAAGTTTTAAAAAACTGTCCAAGGCCCTGGCCGGTTTGGCTCAGCAGTTGGAGCATTGGCCTGCGAACCAGAGAGTCCCTGGTTCCGTTCCCACTAGGGGCAGGTACCAAAAAAAAAAAAAAATCATGAGTCAGAGGCTTGCCCGGCTGGTGTGGCTCAGTGGTTGAGCATCGACCCTGCACCAAGAGGTCGCCAGTTCGATTCCTAGTCAGGGCCCAGGCCCAGGTTGTGGGCCCGATCCCCAGTAGGGGCATGCAGGAGGCGGCCAGTCGATGTTCTCTCTCATCAACATTTCTCTCTCTCTATCCCTCTCCCTTCCTTTCTCTCTAAAATCAATAAAGAAAAAAAATGTTTTTTTAAAAAAACTATCCAAAAAAAAAAAAACCCAACAAAAAATCCTCTCATAAAAAGAACAGCCAATTAGAATTATAGGCTTTCCTTGGGTTAGAGGTTTCACTTCATGGAACACAGAATGTAGAACCCAGAACAAAAATTCTGAAGTCTGAATGTCTTAAAGACTGCTTTGGGCAAACCACCTGCAAGGATGCTAATTAACAGAAAAAAGAATAGGCTGGTTCATATCTACATACCTCAGGTACTTTGGTTTTGCCAACGTTTCACTGCACTGCTTTATCAGAACTAGCTCTAGGATGCAGACAGACATCTATTGACCAAGAGGGAACGTTTCTGAGCACAGGAGACCTGAAGCAAGCATGAGGATCTTGTGTTCCTCCAAGCCACTCCGCTTTGTCTGCTAAGCTAGGGTTTCTCCACCACGGCACTACAGTATTGATGTTTTGGCCTGGATAATTCTTTGTTGTGGGGACTGTCCTTTGCACTGTAGGATGTTTAGCAGCATTCCTGGCATCTACCCACTAGGTGCCACTAGCACCATCCTAGTTGTGACAACCAAAAATGTTACCGACATTGCCAAATGTCCCCTGGAGGGCAAAATCACTCCTGGCTGAGATAATGTTCCAAGCCTTAAGCTTTCATCCAGGGCCAGGCTACGAAAAGCCAGGGCTTGTTAGAAGCTACTTTTGCCTCCTTCCTCACCACCATCCCTTCCCCTGGGTCCTAGTACACAAAGCCTGCTCCCTGTTGCATGGGTGTGGTGGAAGGGGTGATGAGAGGACAGAAAGGGAAAAGTACAGAGAAGGAAGGAAAGTCTGGAAATTAACATCTCAAATATTACCCAGCCACATAGGAATCCCCAGTTTTGTCCCCAGCTCTCCCATTTTTTACTACCCTCGCGTGACTCCTTCCCCCTCCTCACCTCCACCGCCTATTAATCACTATTTCACCACCTAAATATTTCTCAAATTTCTTGCCATCTCTGCATCTCTGTTATCCCTGTTTTAGCTCTTGCTTTGTCTTCCCTTGCCAGGATGTTGCTATGGCTTCCTGTGTCCCCACCTGCTATCAAAGTGATCTCCCAAGGCACAAGCCAAAGTATCCTTGCTTATTTTTGCAGTCTCACCACTCCTGGCTTCACCCTTGGTATTCCAGCTGCACCAACTACTTGTAGTTGCATTCCCCAACACACACACACACACACACACACACACACACACGCTGCTGCATCTCACCTCCAGGTCCTTGTCCATGCTGACCCCTGTTTACGAAAGCTCTCTGCCACTTACTCACTTGCTTTACTCCTACTTACAGCTTAGGATGCACTCAAATGTCCTCTGTTCCAGGAATTCTTTCTGTCTCTCCCAGACTAAGTTAGGTGTTGCTCTGCGTCTCTCTAATACTATGCGCCTATCTCTCTCACCTGGAGTTTAAATTTACTGGCTGTCCACTTCCTTCAAAATAAAATAATCTGTAAACCCAGCAGGGCAGAAATCCTGTATCTTCAGAATCTGGTTCAGGGTCTGGCATATAGTATGAGCTTAATACTGTAGACAAGCAGACTTATGTCTCCCTGTGGATGTGTAGGCACAGACACACTGAACATAGGACACCAGGAGAGCTTGTGTTTATTGGACTACCCAAGAAATATAAGAACTTTTTCCCATCAAAGAGTGGGTTTTTAAAAAACATTTAATGCAGATACATATTGATCAACACTATATTAAAAAGTACACACAGAATTCGTTTCTTAATTTTTTTTATTTTTATCCACACCCGAGGATATTTTTCTATGTATCTTCAGGTAGAGAGAGAGGGAGAGAAAAAAAGAGACAGAGAGAAACATCCATGTGAGGTGGACATATTGACTGGTTGCCTCCCGCATGACCCCAACCAGGACCAGGGACAAACTGCAACCTAGGTACTTGCCCTTGGCTGGAATCAAACCCAACACTCATTGGTCCGCAGGCCGACACTACGACCGAGCCAAACCGGCCAGGGCCTAATTTAATTTTTTTTTTTTAAGCAATAGCCACTTTCCACTTTAAAAAAAAAATTTTTTTTCTATATTGCTATTTTTAAAGAGAGAAAGGGACGGCTGGAGAGAGACATAGAAACATCAATGAGAGAACATCAATTGGCCACCTCTTGCATGCCCCTCAATGGGGATCAGATCCACAACCTGGGCATGTGTCCTGACCGGGAATCAAACTGGCAACCTCTTGGTGCATGGGTCGACCCTCAACCACTGAGCCACACTGGCCGGGCTACACACAGAATTCTTGCTTTTTCACTTCTTTCCTTTTATCCTTTTCTCCCCACCCCCACCCTCTCTAGGTAATATTTATATATTTATAGTCTCTTGTTTATCCCCCACTGTTTATTTTGCAATCATAAGCAAACATGTATATATCTGTACTCCTCCCTCTCCTAACAGTAGCATGCTATAACCACTGTTCTGCACTTTGCTTTTGCCACTTAATGGATCCTGGCAAACTTTCTATATCAGTCCATGGAGATCTTTCTCATTTTTCTTTTTAATTATTTTTTCTTTATTGATTTTTAAAGAGGAAGGGAGAGGGAGAGAGAGAGAGAGAGACATCAATAAGAGAGAACATCGATTGGCCACCTCCTTCATGCCCCCCACTGGGGATTTGGCCCACAACCTGGGCACGCGCCCAGACCAGAAATCAAACTGCGACCTCTTGATGCATGGGTTGATGCTCAACCACTTAGTCACACCAGCCGGGCTAAAAAAATTATTTAAAAAAAAAAGAAAAATATCCTCAGGTGAGGATTAACTAATAATAAGAATAATAAAATGAAAATAAATACTAATAAATACATTAAGGATTACCTGAGAATATTTTTCTATTAATTTTTAGATACAGTGGAAGGGAAGGAGAAAAGGGGAGAAAGAGAGAGAAACATCAATTGGTTGCCTCCCACATGACCCCAACCAGGGCTGGTGAACAAACCTGCAACCCAGATACATGCCCTTGACCAGGAATCAGACCTGTGACCCTTCAGTCCATAGGCCGACGCTCTAACTGCTGAGCCAAATCAGCCAGGGCTTCATTTTTATTAATTGGAGTGTGTGTCACACAAAGTCTGGGGCATCCACATACTCTCCTGTCACTTAACTGTAGGGCAAGGCCATTTTCAGCAGTGCACTAACCAAGGTGGGTGCTCAGCTTAGGAACTAGCTGTATGTATGTGAGTCTCCACTGAGTGTCTGAGACTGCAGTTGTCTGCTGACACATGTATGAGACAGTGAGTGCATGCTGTTGGGTGGCATGTTTTGTGAGCAACAGAATGAGTAACAGCAGTGGATGGCAGATGACTGGTGTTGCTGTGAGAAGAACCTTGAGCCCTTCATCCTTGGGGTGTGGGGAAGGCAGACCCAGGATGTCCCCATGGGCTGGGCCTGACAGACCCTGCTGGGGCTGGCCCACCCTGCCCCCCAGGACGGCTGGAACATCCTCAACTTCCTTATCATCTTTATCTTGCTCCTGGGATTCTTCATTGATGAACTCAATGTCATCTCTATCACCTACACCCTCAGGTGAGCTGGGAATTCTGGAGAAAAGAGGGGGACCTGCTTAGACCCTGGGAAAGAGATGGGGGGGTTATTATCAGCGGGGGATTAGTTCTGCCTGTCTAGGCAGGTAGGGTGGCAGTGAGGAGAAGGGGTCTGGGAAGGGCCGAGGGGCGCCCCTGAGAGGCTCTGCCACAGGGTCCTTCGTCTCGTGCATGTGTGCATGGCGGTGGAGCCCCTGGCCCAGATCATTCGCGTCATCCTGCAGTCGGTGCCTGACATGGCCAATATCATAGGCCTCATCCTCTTCTTCATGCTGGTCAGTGCCTTCCCCCAGCCCCAGCCACTCCCCTTCCCTGAACATGCCGTGGGTCAGTGGGGATAAAGGGGTGTCTGGAGAAGAGAGGCCTATGGGCCCAAGTCCCTGTGACCACCCTCGAAGCGTTCATTTGCATGTGCTGTCTCTCCAAGGCTCTTGCGTAAAGTCGGGGCGGGTCTTTGGTCTCTCTGGCAGGTGTTCTCCGTATTTGGGGTTACTCTCTTTGGTGCATTCGTACCCATGCATTTCCAGAACATGCAGGTTACCCTGTACACCCTCTTCATCTGCATCACCCAGGATGGCTGGGTAGACATCTACGATAACTTTAAGTGAGTCCCCGTGGGGCTTCTGGTCCCCCAGCCCATCCAGGCAAGGCAGGGGCTGGGCTCCCATGAAGCAAAATACTGACTGGGGAGGAAAAAGGGCTGTGGGGGGAGCTTCAGGTCTGGGAATGAGGATGGAGCAACAAGAAAGGGGTGCAGGGCTTTAAACTGGAGGAAAGGAGACCCCTGGGGCTGGGGCCTCTGGGTTTGTGGACTACTTGAAGTCTTGTCCCCTTTAAACTCCACCCATTTAAAGTCCCACTACAGCCCTGGCCAGTTTGGTTCAGCGGTTAGAGCGTCGGCCTGCGGTCCTGAGAGACCTGGGTTCAGTTCCCGCTAAGGGCATGCACCTCGGTTGCAGTTTGTCCCTGGCCCTGGTCGGTTGTGCGGGTGGCAGCCACTCGATGTGTTCCTTTCGCATCGATGTTTCTCTCTCTCTCTCTGTTCCTCTCTCTCCCTCCCACTCTACCTGAACAAAAAATGGAAAAATGTCCTCTGGTGAGGATTAAAAAAAAAAAAAAAAAAAGTAAAGTCCCACTGCAGACCTATTTGAGGCTATATCTTCCATTTTGCTAAACAGCTGGGTCTCTAGGCCTTGGGCATGGGAGCTGTCTGTGGTTGCACTAGGGCTTTAGGGCAGCCTTCCAGCCCACATTGGAGCCCACTGCCTGGATTCCTGGGAACTTAGGGTCTCATTTCATTTATTCTTAGACCCACTGCCCAAGGTCATGTTTGGCCATATATGGCTGCCTGGGTTCTGTTCTTTTACCCCTTTCCCATTAAGTCTAAACCCTATTTATTTCCAGTCTACTTCAGGGAGTTGGACTCACTGATTGATTTCTTTTTATCCCTTTCATGGGAGAGTAGAAGCCCAGTTGGTAAAGGACTTCTGTCATTATCTGTTATGATTTAGGTAGTGGAAAAACCATAGAGTGTACAATAGGGTGGACTAGGCTTTTGAGTCTTTGCTCCACCACAGTAGTCATGCAACCTTGGGCAAATTATTTCATCTCTTTTCTGAGCTTCAGTTTTCTCATCTGTCGATTGGAGATTATAAAACAATATAACAATGTCATGGATTGCTATGAGGATCAATAGAGAAAATCTATATAAATCTCTTAGCATAGAGCCTGGCACAGTATACACCACACACACACACACACACACACACACACACACACACTGGGGAGGGGGGAGAGAGAACATTATTTTATTTATTTATTTTTTATCCTCACCTGAGGATATTTTTGGTTTTTGTTCACATAGAGTGGGAGGGAGGGAGAGAGAGAAACATCAACGTGAAAAGGACACATTGAGTGGTTGCCACCTGCACGACCCAACCAGGGCCAGGGACAAACTGCAACCGAGGTACATGCCCTTAGCGGGAACCGAACCCTATCTCTCTGGACCGCAGGCCGACGCTCTAACCACTGAGCCAAACCAGCTAGGGCAAGAGAGAACATTGTTATTTGGGAAAATATTTTATGGGAGATTTACAACAGGTATTAACAGTGGGTGGAATTGTTCCTGGACATTTTCCTTCTGGTTTTCTATAATGAGCTTGAATTACTTTTTATAATAAGAGAGAGTGTAGCCAATAGATTAAACTTGATAATGCTGATGTACAAATCCCCACCTTGCAGGGTGGGTTGAGGACCCCAGTGTCTGGCAGTACAGCAGGCGCTCAATGAAGAGCAGCTGCTATGACAACTAGAAATAGGCATTAGATCTGCAAAACAGCAGTGAGGCAGCAGAAGTCCTAGTAGGCCTTGAGATAATTTCCCCATTTCATAGATGAGGAAACTGAGCTCAAAGAGCCAGGGCGGTGACAGGGCCCCTGCCTGCCATCTCCAGGTTGGAGACCAGGGACTACGCAATGGAGATTGGGGGTGCCCTCTACTTTGCCACCTTCATCACCATCGGTGCCTTCATTGGCATCAACCTGTTGGTTGTCGTGGTGACCACCAACCTGGAGCAAATGATGAAGGCAAGAGAGCAGGGGCAACAGAATCAAATAAACTTCAATGAGGTGAGTGAGAAGGGGAGGGCAGAGGGAGGAGAGGGAGTGTATATATGAATGCTGACTTGAGCATATGGGCATGTGTGTGTGTGCTCATACACTCAAGTGCCTGGAGAAAGCCAGGCCTGAGACCCAGAGGCGATATTTTCCACCTTGGATGCCAACTTACCAACTGGGGCTTCTGAGGGGTATGGATTTCCTAGATGGTTTATTTCTATGGTAACTCAAACTGAGCAGCTTGGGTGACCTTAGGGCTTTTAACCAATCTAAGCCTCAATGTCTTCTTTTGTAAAATGGGAATAAAGATAGTATTTACCTCATAGGGCTATTATAAGAACTACATGGGTGAATAAACAGTACTTGACATATACTAAGAACTCAATAAATGTTAGCAAAATTATTATTTATTCAGGGTGGGGAGGTGGAAAGTATAGTATTTCCCAAAGTGTTGAGGGCTCAGGGCTGTGACTTGAGAATAGATGGGTTTTAGAAGTTTGCTGGGTAGAATTTAGAGGAGTGCCCAGCTGGTGTGTTGAGTATCAACCCATGCACTAAGAGGTTCCCGGTTCATTCCCGGTCAGGGCACATGCCAGGGTTGTGGGCCAAATCCCCAGTGGGGAGCATGCAGGAGGAGGCCAATCAATGTTCTCTCTCATCAATGTTTCTATCTCTCTCTCTCCCTCTCTCTTTCTCTTTCTCTAAAATCAATAAAGAAAAAGAAAAGAATTTAGCAGGAGTGAAATGGAGGGGGTCACTAAGTTTTAAAGAGGGGTAAGAATTTCCAAACAGGTGGGGGAAGGGCTTGTATATTTGAAGTTGAGCTCCCATAGCAAGGTAGAAAGGCTAAGATTGGTTGAAGCTAAAATGAGGAACATTAGAATCCTGGTATCCTAATAGACTCATCATCCCTGAAGTCAAGAAGGAAGGGGCTGGGGAGGGGATGCCTGGCTGAGCTGTCTGTCCCCTCTCCATTTCCCCCTCTCCAGACAGTCAATGTGGAGGAGTACAGGAATAAAGACCTGCCGTTGGTGCACTGTATGGTGGCCCGTTCGGAGATGTCTGGCGCTCCCCAGGAGCCACTTACGACGGGTCCCCTGTCGAATCTCTCGGAAAAAGCATGCGACAACTTTTGCTTGGTGCTGGAGGCAATTCAGGAGAATCTGATGCAATACAAAGAGATCCGAGATGAGCTCAACACGTAGGGCGGGTACTGGGGGTACCCCCGAGTCCTGTGAGTTAGGGCTGAGCAGAGCCTCAGATTCTTCCGGTCTTATGTCCTCACCATTTTATAATGTGGACCCTGAGACCCAGAAAGGTTAAGTGATTTGCCCATGGTCCCCCAGTCTTTTTTTTTTTTATTTTAGAGAGAGAGGAAGGGAGAGGGAGAAAGACAGAAACATTGATGAGAGAGAACATTGACTGGCTGCCTCCTGCACGCCCCCCACTGGGGATTGGGTCCACAACCTGGGCATGTGCCCTGACCGAGAATCGAACTGGCAACCTCTTGGTGCATGGGTCGACACCCAACCACTGAGCCACACTGGCTGGGCTCCCCCAGCCTTTTGGAGGAGCTGGAATCCAGACTTCCAGGTTCCTCCCATCTCACACAAGCGAACGCACAGCTTGGCCTGGGATTCTATCAGTGAAGAGGGAGGCTGGAGGGGCTGGACACCTGGGAAAAGGTGGGAGGACTGCCCCTCTTTTCCCCAACCCTGAAACACACTCACCCCTCTGCCCCCAGGATAGTGGAGGAGGTACACTCCATCCGCTTCAACCAGGAACAGGAGATGGACCTATTGCACAGGCACTTGTCAAAGACTGTGCCGATGGAAAGCCATTCCACCATGGACATCCGTGAGCTGACTAGCCAGCAAGACTTGATCACTGCGCTCATCAACAGGGAAAAGGTGCACCTTCCCTCCCCTACCAATCTGTGCTCACCCACCACCCTACCCAACTCAGCCCAGCCTAGTCTCTGCCGAATTACTCAAGGTTTCTATCTTTTCCAGGGTTAGCCCCTTGGCTCCTAGTCAGGCCAATCCACCAGTGGGGTTAGGTTCCATCCTTCCTTCTCTAAGAGGCCCCACCCCCTCCTGTCAGAGTCTACCCGTTGAGCCACTTCTGATTCTAGTGTCCTCAAGCCTACCTTTTCTTAAGAGGCTTGAACCAGCTCAGTTCCTGCTTAGTGGCAGAAACCTAGGCCCACTGATGGCAAAGGACACCTGGGTCCTGTTGAAGGTACATAAGAGCAGCCTTCTCCTGAGGAGGAAGCTTCTAGGGAGAAAAAAGCACACACCCACGTTAGTTTCTGCTTCTATCTGCCTGGGATAGAATGACCTGAAGCCTTGTGAATGTCCACAGCCTGAACTCCCAAACTCAGAGAGGACACTAGGCAGGCTAGAGTTAGTCATATGAAGGACTTCCCTGGGAGGCCTCGAGGGGCACCCTTGAAGCTGGAAGAGGGAGAAAGGAGTATCTGCCATGTCATAACAAGGTGCTGATGAGACCTCTTGGTTTGCAGGTTCAGGAATCTTATACTACTATACCCCCTAAAAAGCTCAAGAGCAGCCGCTGAGAGGGCAGGAGGGAGCCAAGGGGCCTGTGCACACACACCCAGCAACTGCATCTTCCTGCATCCCAAGCATGACTTGGCTAAGCTTGGCCTGAGCCCATCCTTTCCCTTATACCTGAGGTAATGCCTGGGGCTATGGAGGTGGTGGCATCTCTAGGGCCTATGCCTGTGAGCCCCAGGTCTAGAGGAACCAGGATGGAAAGGACACTGGATGAGAGTGGGAGCCCTACAGCAAGGGCATGCTGGCCAAGGCAGCCAGGATTTGGCCTAAGGTGGCGCATCCCTGGCCCCCTGCTCTAGGCTAGAGCTAAATGGGGCCTAAGTGGGCCTAAGAACTAGGAGGAGAAAGGTGAGGCCAGTAGGGCCAGTCATCTCTGTATTCACAATAAAGTTTTGTGTTGGGATCAATGTGTCTGACTAGTGGATCTCCAACCCCTTGGGGAAACCTTGCCTCAGTTCTGACGGACAAGACAGTTCTTGACCCTCAAAAGCCTGTTTATCTGATGGGAGAGTCACTGACTACCCTCCGAAGCTTCTAGTCTAATGGGAAAGAGAACCTGTACCCTAAACAATTCTGAATTGATGGTAGAGATATAATCCCTTCCCTTAGAGTCCTAAAATTTGGGGAGGTTGGAAGCCTCTGCCTGATACAGGAGACAATCCTACCCTCTCTGTCTGAAGGTAGAATAAACTGGTCCTCATTCTGGGAGCCCTGGCCTAATGGGGTCACCAATGACCATGTCATGCAGGTACAGGAAGCTCCATCTTGGGGCAATGGAGAATGACTGGGCCAGGTGTGGGTCCTGACGAGCTTGCTAGAGGAGAGGAGCACTGAAGCTCATTGGAAAATAGCAGGAAGAGTATGTGATTTTTTTTTTTTTTTTTTAATCCTCACCCGAGGATATTTTTCCATTTTTTGTACAGATAGAGTGGGAGGAAGAGAGAGGAAGGGAGAGAGAGAGAGAGAAACATCGACGTGAAGGGACACATCGAGTGGCTGCCACCCGCATGACCAACCAGGGCCGGACAAACTGCAACCGAAGTATGTGCCCTTAGCGGGAACCGAACCCGGGTCTCTCTGGACCGCAGGCCGACGCTCTAACCGCTGAGCCAAACTGGCCAGGGCAGGAAGAGTATGTGGGTCAGGTTAATGAAGTCTGGTGGGGAACTTGTGACCTGCAAGGCCTCTTTGGGACCTCCACACCAAGCACCATTGAGAGCCACAGGAGGTTCCAGAGTGAGGCAATACAGAGAGTCTGAGAAAGCTGTGGCAGTCATGGGCAATAGGAAGAGATGTGTTGGGGGACAGGATTCTGTTCCTTAGGCAAGTCACTGGGCCCCATTTTTCCCATCTGTGCAATGGAGAGAGGATGCTATTGGTCTCCAGCTCTAAAATCAAATGGCCAGCTCTCAGCCTAGGAGTAGGGAGACCAATAAGATCAGCCATGTAGCTGAGACTCAGAATCCCTGGTATTGGGTGGAGGGGAAGGCTGGAAGACCCAGAGTTCTGCCCAGCTATTTAGCAAAGACTGGCAATTATGGATCTTGGGGATATTCACCAATTTGCATGGGCATCCCCAGAGGACCACTGATTGCAGCTGATTGGAAACTCTGCCCTCCATCCCCCTCCCATCAGCATTGGTTTCACCCCAGAGAAACCCCCTGGGGTCTGCTGGAAAAAGTCTGGACACCTGGAGACAGGGTGGTATACTCAGCTGGCAGGTGAGAGGTAGCACTAATGCCAGCAGCACCTCACTCTCTTGGAGCCACTGTCATTCCCCTGTTCGAGCCAGGATGCTTCCCAGTGCCCTCCAGGATCATCAACCAGCAGAGCTATGGACAGCCAGTGGTTTTTGCTGCTGTTATTTATTGGGGATAGAACCCTCAATCTGTCTGGTGAGTATTCTCTTACGCCATTTCCATCTATCCTTCTCTGGGGACCCTTACAGCCCCTTTTCTGGCTGGCCAGAGAGGGGAAGAAGTTTAGTAGAAGATCAGGTAGTATCCCCAGGAAGATCCCATAATGTGAGCACAGCCGTTCTCCAACCCACCCCTAAATTGTTTAAAAGGCTTGGGCATCAATGAATTTGGAGCAGGAGCTGACCTCCAAGGGGCTTCTGGCTTTGCTCTTCCATCCTCTTCTAGGATGCTATCTTTGTCTACTTCCTCCATTTTGTCATCTCAGCTGTCTCCCCCTTTTTGTGTTTCCTTCCCATCTGGTCAGGCCAATAGGATCGATTTCAGCAGGCTAGTTTTCTCCTGGGTTGGCCTAGATCTGAGGGCTCAGGAGCTTGGACACCTGCTGCCCTCTCCTGCCCTACTCCAGCAAAGAGCCTCACTGAGCCTGAGGTTGGAATGCAGCCCTGGATCCTAGGACAGTATGCGGGAAGATATTGGGAGGTGGCAGGAAATTCCATGTCTCATCACTCCCATCAGTCCATGACATTTTTCAGGAACAGGAGTATTCTTGGCAAAGCACTCAGGAAGCAGATAGCAAGTTGGTAAGAGGAGCAGAAGGGGACAACTATTACCAGTAGCAGGTTCTATTCACTGAGCACCTAGTATATGCTAAGCATTGTGCTAGGTGCTTCACATGCATTATCTCATTCAATCCTTATGACCATCAGTAAGGTGGGTCCTATTATCATCCCTGTTTTACAGTTGAGGAAACTGAGGCTCAGAAACATGAAGTGATTTGTCCCTATCACAGAGCTGGGATTCTATTACTGGTCTGACTTCAGAGCCCAGGCCATATGCAATTGCTTCTCAAAGGAGCTGCTGTGGGCAGGAAACCTCGGTATCATAAAGATGTCAGTTCTCAACAAATCTATAATTGTGGCACAGTTCCACTCAAAACAACTTGATAAACAGATTGTAATATACAAGTAGAAAAGCAAAAGGCCAATATGGCCAAGATGATTCTGAAAAGCAATATGGGAGACTCATTCTATCAGATACTGAGATTTACATTAAAGCAACAGTAACATAACGTGGTATTGGTGCAAGGATAGACAAGTGAACCAATGGAATGAAAGCGAGGGCGTGGAAATTGGTCTGGATCCATAAGGACAGGTAGTATGGCAAATCAGGGGGCAAAAGATGGACTTTTCCATAAGGAGGCAGGGACAACTGGTTGACCACATGGGAAAAAAAACAACATAAAATTAGATCCAATGGAAACATCTCTCCCTGCAAATAAAAACTTGAAACCCCTATACCAAGACATCTGTTCATTTCAGCCTGGACTTTTGTAGCGCACAGACCCATGGGTCACCAGGGTTTAGAGGGCTCCTCCAGTATTGGGCCCAAATCCTTCACTGCACTGAGGGTGGGGCATGGAGGTACTGAGAGAAGTGGGGTCTTCCTCAAGATCACACAGCAAGTCAGTAATAGACCCAGGTCTGGAGTCTAGATCCTCCTACTCTTTCCATGCATTCTAGCCAGCCGTCCTGCCCTACTATGATCCCTTTGCTTTTCATGGGGCTAAAAGAAAGTTGGGTGTTGCCTGGTAGGTGTAGATCAGTGGATTAAGCGTTGTCCCATGAACTGAGAGGTCCTGGTTCCATCCCCAGTCAGGGCACATGCCCAGGGAGTGTGCAGGAGGTAGCCAATCAGTGTTTCTCACATCAGTGTTTCTATCTATCTCTTCCTCTCTCTCAAAAAAAATCAATAAAAACACATTAAAAAAAAAAAGAAAAAAAAAGAAAGATCCCTGGCCGGTTTGGCTCAGCGGCTAGAGCGTCGGCCTGCAGTCCAGAGAGACCCGGGTTCGGTTCCCGCTAAGGGCATGTACCTCGGTTGCAGTTTGTCCCCGGCCCTGGCTGGTCGTGCGGGTGGCAGCCACTCGATGTGTCCCTTTCACATCGATGTTTCTCTCTCTCTCTCTTCCTCTCTCTCCCTCCCAGTCTATCTGAACAAAAAAAGTGGAAAAATGTCTTCAGGTGAGGATAAAAAATAATAATAAAAAGAAGAGAAAGAAAGTTGGGTGTGGAAGGAGCAGGTGCCACACAGGGGCAGGTTTGGGGACAAGGGTCAGTGCCTCCTCAGAGCTAGGTTGTGGGAATTAAGAGCCCATCACCTGGGTTGAGTCACTTCCAGTTTTCTGAATTAGACCTTTGACAACTACCAAGGGTGCAATGAGAGGGCATCAGGTAATGGACCTATTTCTGCCCACTGGCCAGGAAAAAGAGGAAAGTTTCCAAGGGATCCAACTCAGCACAACTGACATGGGTCCCTACAGAGAGAGGCTGTCTCAGCCATGAGAATGCACTGTGGTCTGGCAGGTGTGGCTCAGTGGTTGAGTGTCGACCCATGAACCAAGAGGTTGCTGGTTCGATTCCTGGTCAGGACACATGCCCAGGTTGTGGGCCTGATCCCCAGTGGGGGGCATGCAAGAGGTGGCCAATCAATGTTCTCTCTCATCGATGTTTCTATCTCTCTCCCTCTCACTTCCTCTCTCTCTAAAATCAATAAAGAAAAAAAAAATTTAAGTACGTGTGTGTGTACGTGTGTGTACATACACGTGTATGTGTGCATTAAAAAAAAAGAGAATGAAGCTATGTTTTTGTGAGGCAGTGCAGCATAGCACAGAAGACGCTGGGCTCTGGACGATGGACCCTGTTTCAAATGTAGTGCCACTACTTCCTGGCCCTGTGATCTTAAATAAATGTCTTCACCTGTCTGAGCCTCGGTTTCTTCATCTGATTAACAGAAATAATAGTCCTTACCTCAGATTGGTTGTGAAGATTCAATTGACCGATGCTCATTGGAGCAGCACCTTAATCAGACAAGGTAAAAATTGAACAATGTCAAAACTACCCTTGACTGCTTTTGCACTAAATAAAACTGATGGCTTGCAATTAGGGGTCAGGCTGTACAAATAACTGTATATCTTTAAATAGTAAAGTCATATTTAATGCAGTAGGAAACACATCAAAAGGCACCAAGAAATTGAAGACCAAATGCAATAACAGATTTTATCTTTTGCTGATTCTATTTCTAGAGTAGTCATTGAGCCCTGGCCGGTTTTGCTCAGGGGTTAGAGCACTGGCCCATAAACCAAACAGAATAGTCATTGAGGAAGGAGACATAGTTGTCTGCTCTAGTTAAATTTGAGCTCCCTGGCATGCATCAGAAGAGATCTATTAGCACAGAGATGACATGTAAATAAATGAACACATCAAAATGTAATTGGTGTTGTGATTTTTATTGAATCATCCAATAATACTTGGTAAGTGAAAACATCTGAGAAGAACTCTGAATTGGTGGAGGGAACAGGTATATTTGTTTCTTTTTGTGTGTTTATTTGTTTTACAGGCATTATTACAACCTGGGAGTGTGAGTCAGGCACAACAACCTCCATGCCTAGGGGAACTACAGTGTGTTCACATGAATCCTTAGTTCTATCCAACACTGAGAGAGACAACACCCCTATATGTATATATTTTTTTGTCCTCACCCGAGGACATTTTTCCTTTTTTTTTTTGTTCAGATAGAGTGGGGGGGGGGACAGAGAGAAAGAAAGAGAGAGAAACATCGATGTGAAAAGGACACATCGAGTGGTTGCCACCCACACGACCCAACCAGGGCCAGGGACAAACTGCAACCAACGTACGTGCCCTTAGTGGGGACCGAACCCGGGTCTCTCTGGACCGCAGGCCGATGATCTAACCACTTAGCAAACCGGCCAGGGCAAGACAACACCCCTATAGTTCCACTTAACACCTCAGTGACAACCAGGAGGGCAGAAATGGCTAAGTCCCAGAAGCATCCAACACCAGCTTCAATTTCAACTTCACCACCAGTCTACAGCTCTGCTGAGTCCACTGAGCAGGCAACCCTAATGCATAACCCTCAGGAGGAGATATTACATACAACTCACATCACAACCTCCAAAGGCACAACACTGTCAGATTCCATGATGACTTGTAAGTTGAAGGACCAGGGAGGAATAGCCTCATTCATCCACCATGGCCACTTCAGCTGAGACCTCAAAACAGAGTCAGAGAGCTTCAACTGCAGCCCCATTAGCATCAAGCCCCACAGTCAATGGATTGGAAACATCAGTGTCCACTGACTCTCAGAAGTCATCCACCATCACAGCTCAAACAGTTTTAAGCACACCAGGCAATGATGTTACATCATCAGAGTCCATGATAACCACTATCTCTAAGAAGTCAGCTATAACAATATTCCCAACACTGAATAAACCACTCATGTGAAAGGATCTCTACCCATGACAACCAGTGTAGTTGCCCACACCACTTCACTAACCTTGACCACCCTAGGGACAGCTGTTCTTGGGACGACCATGTCTGAGATTCAGGAAGGGGAAACTACAGCTGCACTCCTAACCCCAACAATAGCCCCCACAATGAGCACACTGTCTGAAACACACCACAGCATCACCACACAGATACCTTTCCATGTAGTACAATCAGCCCCCAGTGCTGGTCCTGCAACAGCCCAGTCACCTGAGACAACAGCTGTTCAGTCAACAGCCCTTATCCTCAGCTGCTCACAATCTCTGCCGTGACTGGGGCCAGTTAAGCTTCCCCTAAACGCACCCAGAGCAGTAGTCCTGGAGGAGGAGCCTGTGCTTCAGATGAGTACCCAGACAGCAAGGGAGCCTGTATGTGCAATGACAACTACTACACCTACGCAGGTAAGTCTGAGGAACTCATGTCAGCACAGCAAAGAAGAGGTGGGAGTCAGAGTGGACATCAGACTCTGTGAAGGCCCAGAGGGCTTGGGAGAGCTGGTGAGGTTTGGTCAGACATTGGCATCTAAAGAGTCCATCCAGGTAGAGGTGATTTCTAGTGAGAGGATAGGTAGCTGGGCCTGAGTGCTTAATAAATTAGGGTTGCTATAACAAAATACAAACACTGGTTGGTTTATAAACAGAAATTTATTTCTCACAGTTCTGGAGCCTGGAAGTCTAAGATCAAGGCACCAGCAGATTAGGAGTCTGGTGAAAGCCTGCTTCCTGGTTCACAGACAGCTGCCTTCTCTCTGTGTGGGAGGGGCAAAGGAGGTCTCTGGGGCCTCTTTTTATAAGGACACTAATTTCATTCCTGAAGGCTTCACCTTCATGACCTAATCTCCTCTTAAAGGCCACACCTCTTAATACCATCACATTGTGTGTGAGGATTTAACACAAGAATTTTAAAGGGACGTAAACATTCAGTCTATAGCAGAGGTAGAATGGATAGTTCATTAACCCCTAGCCCCCATGACTCTAACTACTGGCCTGAGATTACATTTTCCTGGGGGAAGGAGCTGATGATCTACCAAAAACAAAGGCTGCAGCCCCAGCAGAGGCCTGGAGTGCTAAGCCAGGAAAATGAGGCCAAAACCTTGTTGTTGGGACAAGGCTAGTGTGGCAGACATTATAGAAAGGCTGAGTTCACAGGGCCTCCCCCAGGTGGTGCAACTAACCCCCAGGCCCATCCTCCGGCAGGGTGGAAGTGGGTCCTAGGAACCAAAAAGATAATGGTGTCCTCCAAACACGTGTCCTCCATGGTTACAATAATTCTAATCCCCAAAAGATTTAAATTTAATATAATTCTGATTTTCCGAAAATGACTACTCTGCTTTTCTAAATATCAAATTTCTTCAGAAAATGTTTCTTTGGCACTGCTTCTCAGGTCTACTGGATAATCCAGCCTTGGGATGAAGTTTCCATTACCTTCAAAACTAGGCAGTGCTTAATTTATGGACCAGTATTCTCCAAAATATATTTTGAGGGACACCAGTGCTATGGGACTTTAGTAGACATTACACTAACAAAAATAATTCTATTGTCAAATATATTTGGGAAATACTGGATTATACAAAGCTGTTTCTTGATTATAAAACTTTTCAGAGCCTTTAGTATTCAGTATTCCACTGTTCACTGTGACTCTCTAAAAAGTCAGATTTTAATTTTTTAAATATATTTTTATTGATTTCAGAGAGAGAAGCATTGATCGGCTGCCTCCTACAGGCCCCCAACTGGGGTTCAAGCCTGCAACTCAGGCATGTGCCTTCCCCAAGAATCGAACTGGCAACCTCCTGGTGCATGGGATGATGCTCAACCAACTGAGCCACGCAAAAGTCAGATTTTTTTTTAATCCTCACCCAGGGCTATTTTCCCATTATCTTCAGTAGAATGGGAGGGAGAGCGGGAGGCAGGGAAGGAGAGAGAGAAAGAGAGAGAAAGATATCCATGTGAGAGAGACACATTGACTTGTTGCTTCCTACATGACTCTGACCAGGGACCAGAGCCGGGGACCAAATCGCAACCGAGGTACATGCCCTTGACTGAAATCGAACCCGCATTCGATGTCGGTTTGTGGGCCAACACTAACTGCTGAGCCAAACCGGCCAGGGCCAGAAGTCAGATTCTTTTTTTTTTTTATTTATTTTTTTTATCCTCACCCGAGGACATTTTTCGATATTTTGTTCAGATAGAGTGAGTGGGAGAGAGAGAGAGAGAGAGAAACATCGACGTGAAAGCGACACATCGAGTGGTTGCCACCCACACGACCCAACCAGGGCTGGGGACAAACTGCAACAAAGGTACGTGCCCTTAGCGGGAACCGAACCCGGGTCTCTCTGGACCGCAGGCTGATGCTTTAACCGCTGAGCCAAACAGGCCAGGGCCAGAAGTCAGATTTTTAAAGCTGATTTTAGCATGCATTTTCCAAGAGTGTCTGTTCCCAGAATCCTCATGTTGAGGAACGTTTGCGCAGCACCTTTTACAGGGGAGGGGAATTCAGATAAGAGCTGAGAAGGGCCGGGCAGGTAGAAGTGACCAGGATGACAAGTCCAACCCAGGTGGGGTTAAGTCAAACTCTGAGCATGAGGTGGCTCATTAGAGTGTTGTCTTATGGCAACATAGTCTCTTGGCAAAAGCAGGGTTATATGCCCACTTGTACAGTGATGCATGTGTCCGTCCACCAAAAATATAAAGTATATAATTGTGTTTTCATACATGGAGAATGAGAGAGTTGTTTTTTTTTTATCCTTATCCGAGGACATTTTTCCATTTTCTGTTCAGATAGAGTAGGAGGGAGGGAGAAAGAGAGAGAGAAACATTGATGTGAAGGGAACACATGGAGTGGCTGCCACCCACACGACCAACCAGGGCCGGGGACAAACCGCAACTGAGGTATGTGCCCTTAGCAGGAACCTAACCCAGATCCTTTGGACCTCAGGCTGACGCTCTAACCCCTGAGCCGAACCGGCCAGGGCGAATGAGAGAGATTTTTATGTTAACTTGTGTTTTCACACATGGAGAATGAGAGAGTTTTTTTTATGTTAATTTTTCCCCTCGAGTAAGAACATGGACTCTACAAGACAGACTGCCTGCGTTTGAATTATGCCTCATTATTTTCTTCTGTGAATAATAAGAGCACATTTATTTCATAGTGTTAGAGCTTGAGGGCTAGCCCTTATTATTATTATTATTTGATATTCCATATCACAATATACTATTAATTGCAATAGCAGAAAATTATGTGATTGGCTTAAACTCTGCCACACCCACCAACACACACTGGTACAAAGCACCTGGTCTTGCCCTGGCAGGTTTGGCTCAGCGGTTAGAGGATAAAAAACAAACAAACAAACAAAAAGACTGACCCTCTTCCTGGTGGCTCTCAAAGGTGCTCCCTCCCTCTCCTCCTTCAGCTCTGTCTCACAACTCTCAGGCTTGATACCACCTCCTTTTAGGCCCAGTTTCTGGGAAAGAAATTGTGAGTGATCTGCTTAGGCTAGGTCCCACAGTGCAATCATGGTATAAGGGATCTCACCTCCTGTGAGGGAGAGTGTTTAAGGAAGTTGTTGTGGATTAGGCTAATACCCCCGCAGTATCTCCTCCACCCAGATAAGAACTAGTGCCCCTTCCCATGGTATCACTGCAGCATCCTCAGAAGGCCCTTGCCCTGGCTCTCGTCCTTTTGCACAACTGTCCAGAGTGTTGGTGGCCCTGCCCTGCAAGCTGCAGAAAATTGAGGTGGTCCTGAGCAGCTGCTTCCTGAAGACTCGCCATTGGATCCTGCGGGAAGGTGCCTTCTCAAGATGCTCCAGTGTCGGGAAGACAGAGGATCTATGTATGTATGTACTATAAAACCGTTTAAAAAAACAACCACAACTAAAATTTGTTAATTTCTTAGCATGTGCCATGTGCTGTGGGTCAAAATCATTTTTCCCATGCATTATCTTAATCTCCACAATAATCCTGTGAAGTTCCCATTTTACAGATGAACAATCTAAGATCAGCAATCTTAGTTAAAGGGTGTTCCCAACTCTCACAGCTAGTTTTTTATTTTATTTTATTTTATTTTTGGTACGTGCCCCTAGTGGGAACTGAACCCGGGATTCTCTGGTCTGCAGGCCGATGCTCCAACCACTGAGCCAAACCGGCCAGGGCCACAGCTAGTTATTAATAGAGCTAGTTTGAGCTCCTAACTACTCACCAGTGCTGCTGCCTCTTTTCTTTGGACGAAATCTTATATAAAAGCTGAATATAAAAATAAATATATAGAAGCAGGTTGGCTATGGTTGAATGAGGGAGGAGGAAGAGTATTCCGTTGGGTCATCTTTCCCCACATATGTAGATAGGCTTTCACACTCCTTCAAGGAGCCTCTTGGGCTTCGTGGGCTCAGTTTGAAAACCAGTTTGTCCTACAGGGATAATTTAGTTCCTCCCAGTGTCCACCATTATCCCTAGTTCTGTCACCAAGAGGTTCATAAGGTTCCTTGCTTAGGTCATGGAACAAAGTGGGTAGTTTCAACATGGAATAGTTAAGTCCATGGCTATGCCCTTAGAACTCTGTTCTTTATAATAATCGCTTTATTAACAAGTCATCTTGATTCTTTTTTTTTTAATCCTATGGAAATAATAGAATACCAAAAAGATATATGAATCTTTGAATAGGGACCAGGGCTTGGCAATTTCACAAGGGATTCCAAAATACACACTGAGAACGCCCTGGCTGGTTTGGCTCAGCGGTTAGAGTGTCAGCCCACGGACCAGAGAGTCCTGGGTTCGGTTCCCGCTAAGGGCACGTACCTCAGTTGCAGTTTGTCCCTGGCCCCGAGTGGGGTTGTATGGGTGGCAGCCACTTGATGTGTCTCTCTCACATCGATGTTTCTCTCTCTCTCTTCCTTCCTCTCTCCCTCCCGTTCTATGTGAAGATAAATGCAAACAAAACAAAACAAAAAACACAATACACACTGAGGGTATGGGGGGGGCATCTGTGACAAAAATTAATTAATAAAAATTGGAGAAAATAAAATACACACTGAAATTTGAGAGCCACTGGCACAGAGGTTAAGAATATGGGCTCTGGAATCAGGAAGATGTTAAATTTTGACTTTGTCACTTGCTTTGGGCAAACCTTTTAACTTTCTAAGCCTCAGTTTGTTCTTCTGTAAAATGGGATTACCAACAGCTTGGATGGCTTCAAGGGTTCTAGGTCTGGAGATCTATGAGATGGGCCCTCACGTTTTAGGAGGTCCAGGAGAAAGGTTAGCAGATTTGTGTTCCCTCCCCTCATTCTCCCTAGCTACAAGTGCTCAGTGACCTTGAGTGCAAGGCAGAAATTGAGTGCATGTCCCTCTCTCTGGGATCTCACTCCAGTCCCTCTCCAGATATAGCACTATTCATATTTCAGATACTGGGGACACCATTGTCATCCTGGGCATCTTCACGGACCCTCAGCTCTCATTTCCACTTGAGAACAAAACAACTCCCCTTTCTACGTGGTCCTCAGAGCCACAAGCAGTGATCCAGACATATTTACCCTGGTGGCCAAAGAGGTCTTTGCCAGCACCAGTATCTTCATGACAGGTGCTAAGGCCACCTACCACTTTGTGAGGGAGAGGTATGTGTCTGTCAGGCCCTGGTAACCTCCTGCCAATGCCAGACTAGCTCTTGGACTATGGCTTGTGCTGGGTTCTTTTGTACCCATGAGCACAGATCCTGTTAGTCTCCTCTCTATCCCTGGTACATAAACACTGGGAGGAAGTAAGTGCTGGGTGAATATTTCTTGAATGAATGCAAATATTATTTTATTCCCATTTTGCAGATGAGTAAATTAAGTCTCAGGGAAAGTCAGTTCTGTCCAAGATTACATCCAATAAATGACATTCATTCCTTTTATTCTTTCTTCAAACAATTCTTTTTATTTTATTCTTAAATCCTCACCCTACTTTATCTTCAGATAGAGTAGGAGGGAGAGAGGGAGAGAAACATGGATGTGATAGAGACACAATTGGCTAGCTCCTGCATGACCCCAACCAGGGCTGGGGAATGAACCAAGACTGAGGTACGTGTCTTTGACTGGAATCGAACTCACAACTCTTTTTGTCTGCGGGCTGACACTCCAACCATTGAGCCAACCTGCCAGGGTTCTTCAAACAACTATTGAGAGCCTACTATGATAAAAGTAAAAACAAAAACAAGGCACTCTCCTCCTGGGACCACGCCCTGCACCTTTCCCCTCCCTGTCTCACCTCCTCTTCCCCTCCTGGTGTATTATCTCTACCTTTCTCTTTTGCCTCTGTAATTTGTTTTCTGAACCCATTTCTTCTACAGCTCACTTCTACCTCTGTGATTGTCTAAATAAACTTGCTCTTATAGTTTGAAAAACAAAACAAAACTAACATTTAGAGTGCTACACACTGTTAGACTTTCGACCTGCATTGCATTTAATAGCTAATAATAGCTAATACTGACACAGAATTTGCTCACTGCAAGTAACTGTTCGAATCACTGCACATGTATTAGCTCATTTAAGCCTCACGACACACTGTATGAGGTAGTTATATTTTTGTTCCCATTTTATAGATGGAGAAACTGAGGCTCAGTTCACACAATTGGTGAGTGGCCAATCTTGCTGGGGACCCAAAGATAAGTAAGACCAAGTCCTTACCTTCAACAGCTGGTGGTCTAGGGAAGGAGCTGGGTCTCCTGACTTCTAGGTTGTATTTCATTAATATTAACAAGTCTTTACAGTGAATTATTCATTACCTCATTTATTCCTAAAAATATATTCCCTATAAAGTGTTGTTTCCCCCACTTTACAGATGAGGAAATTAGAGAATTTTCAGAGAGTTTAAATGACTGGACACACTTTTGTTCTATTCACGCTCCAGAGTTCAGGTTCTGAAACACTAAGTCTGTCCTAGTGTGTAATTCCTCCTTTGTCAGATGAAATAGAACCTCATGATTAGAGTATGCATGGACACTAGAGCCAGGCTGTTACCTGAAGAAACTTGGGGAAACTACTTAACCTTTCTGAGACTCAGTTTCCTCCTCTTTAAAAAGGAAGGGTTCAGGCCCTGGCCTAGCATTCAGTTGGCTAGAGTGTCATCCCGATACACCAAAGTTGAGGGTTTCGATCCCTGATCAGGGCACATACAAGAAGCAATCAATGAATGCATAAATAAGTGGAACAACTCGATGTCTCTCTCTCTCTCTAAATTAATCAATCTATTAAAATTGAAAAAAATTAATAAATAAAAAAGGAAGGGTTCATCAAGGGAGAAACTAGAATGGATTTATTGATGATGAGTTTGAGCCCTAGAATAAAGGTCCCAGGGTACAAAGACTAAATAAGCTTTGGGAAATACAAGAGATGGAGATGTTACATTAGTGAAGGGGTTACATTAAGGTTATTGTCACCTCAAAAAAAGTCACCATGATAAAATTGTGGACAGATCACTATCTGAATTCCTTAGTTTAGAATTTTTGATGTCTGTCAGAGTTTGCCACCAGTTCCTACATTGCCACCAGTAACTGAGGTTTCCTTTTTCAATTTGGAGTGGTTATTTCTAATAAGTGATCACTGATAAACTATGCTTAGTCAAGAAGCAAACATTAGTGAAAAGACAGAGCCTTAGGAAAAAGTAATAATGAAGAAAAATAAAAAGCCAACTCACCATGAATTTTTACCACAATACTATCAAAACAATTATATGGAGGAAGAGGGGAAGAAAAAGACAGAGAGAGAGAGTAGATGTTTTTTGTTTGTTTTTAATTTTTTTCCTTTATTGATTTTAGAGAGAGAGGAAGGGAGAAGGAGAGGGATGGCAAATCAATGAGAGAGAACATCCATTGGCCACCTTCTGTGGGATTTGGCCCTGGGCATGTGCCCTGACTGGGAATCAAACCCACGACCTCTTGGTACATGGGTCAATACACAACCACTCAGACACACCGCAGGCGATGTGTTTTTTTCTTTTCTTTTTAATCCTCACCCAAGGAGATTTTTCCCTTTTTTTGTTGTTGTTCAGATAGAGTGAAGGGAAAGAGAGGAAGAATGAGAGAAACATCGATGTGAAAGGGACACATCGAGTGGCTGCCACCCGCAGGACCCAACCAGGGCTGGAGACAAACTGCAACCAAGGTACATACCCCTATCGGGAACCGAACCCAGGTCTCTCTGGACCGCAGGCCGACGCTCTAACCGCTGAGCCAAACTGGCCAGGGCAGGGCAATGTTTTTTTAAATTATAAAAATAAAAGAAAGAAGAAAAAAAGAAAGGGGAAGAGGACAGAAGTATTGTTTTTCTCCTAGAATTGATATGAAATAACGCATACAAAATTCTCAGCAAGAGACGCAACATCTACAATCACACAGGACAAGCACAAAAAGGGAAATCAATGTTTGTCCATACACACCGCGGGCCCCAGGCCAGGGCTCCTAACAGTGGGCGACGCTGCCTCTCCCCACAGCTGTCCAGTCAGCAACCGGCCTAGGGGCCAACGGGGCCTCTGGGAGGTGACGCTAGCCTTCAACCTGCTCCGCTTGCACAGAGACGCACTCTACCTGCACGGCCGAGTGACCCTGTGTGACAAGCAGGCGGGACCCCCGCCCGTGCCAGGCTTGCGAACCGACAGCTCGGGTTGGGGCTGGGGGGGAGGGGCGGTTCCTGGCAGTCGCTGCAGCCTCCACCTGGGTCTAGACTCGTGGTCATCCGGGGAGCCGGACTAAGGAGGGACGTACGGGACGGAGGTCCGAGTTATTGGCCTATCCTGCCACGGGCGGGGCTGAGGGCGGGGCTTGTGGGGGTGAGTGACTCAAAGGGCGAAATTTTGGAGCCCAAGGTCTTGTGAATTGGTGAAGCCACTGGGCTACCTGTGGTCTCCCGCAAAAGCCTGCCCTGGTTGGGGTGGGTAAGGGGCTTCGCTCCCCTTATGCTTGTGTCCCCGCAGACTTGTAGTCAGAAGAATCCGCCTGGGAAGAATTTTTTTTTAATCCTCACCTGAGGACATTTTTTTCGTTTTTTGTTGTTGTTGTTGTTCAGTTAGAGTGAGAGGGAGAGACAGAGAGAGAAGCATCGACATGAAAGGGACAGATCGCGTGGTTGCCACCCGCACGACCCAACCAGGGCTGGGGACAAACTGCAACCGCGGTACATGCCCTTAGCGGGAACCGAACCCGGGTCTCTCCGGACCGCAGGCGGACGCTCTAACCGCTGAGCCAAACTGGCCAGGGCCGCCTGGGAAGAATAAAGCCTGGTCGCGCAAGGACGCTGAGGGCGGCGCGGTCTGGAAGGTTTTCGGGCCCATCCTAATAAGCGGTAACTGGATCATCTGGGGGCCTCCCCAACTCCTCTTCCAGAGCCTTTCCCTCACCTGCTCTGAGGCCCCTCTTACCTTCATGCCCTCTCACTCCTTCCTAAATCCAAGTCTCCTCCCCACGCTCATATCCCCATGGCCTCCCCCTGTGCTCTGGAGAGGTTCCTCCCCTCACCCTATCCTTTTCTTACTCATTAAACTTCTAGTCTCAGTCGTCTTCGCCTCTCTCCTCCCATTCTCACCCTTCCTGCCACACCAGATCACTATTCTCCCGATCTGTTAGTTCCTTGTGCAAGTGTGCTTTTGTAAATGCTCCTTGCTGGTCTGGAACAGTTTTTCCCTTCTTTCTATTCCATGACAGTCCTCCCAGGGTCCCACCCTCAGCCTGGCGGTTTTGGTTCAGCTGTTTGAGCCACGGCCCAGCCCGCGCGCGGGCTACAGGTTCATGCCCGGTGGAGGTTGTGCAGGAGGCAACCACTATCGATGCATCTCTCACACTGCTGTTTCTCTCTCCCTCCTCACTTACACTTTCTAAAAAAAATAAAAAATAAATAAAAATCAATGGAAAAATATTCTCTGGTAAGGATTAACAACAAAGAAGAAAAAATCCCACACTTAAGGGAAAGCCTGTCTTTAGTAAGTCTATTCTTATTAGAATTGGAAGGTTCATCATTACACCCTGTGTGACCCAGCTTCAAAAAGGGGTTGGCCATTTTGCCCAATATTGATGAAATTATGGGAGCATGCTGCCCTTGTCTTGTCAAGATGGTTCCTCAGGCTTAATCTTTCTATGTGGTTTCAGAGTCCAGTGCCTCCAACAGCAGGAATGCAGCAAGTTGGTACACAGGGATTGCACCAGGGCCTGGGGGTGCATACTGGGTCTGGCAGGTGCTGGTCTTGGCTCCTGTTTCTGCTCAACCCTGTGACTTGGGAGAAGTCAATTACCCTCTTGGAGTTTCAGCCTCCTTAGCAGTACATGACTTATTGTGAGGTTGTTGGTAATCATAGTGTCAGCATAAGAATGTCCAAACCCATAGAGAATTGTTATAAGTTTTTTGAGCCAAAACGAATGACAATTGCCAGGGAGCAAGATCTCATATGCTCTGGAGAATTACAGTTTTATAGTTTCTTTAAGCATTTAAGATTAAGGAGGGAACTAAGAAAGATGACAGGAAGGTGGGAGAAAGCAAACTGGATCTGGATTACAGGATAGTTAACAAGATATTGTGTTCTCTTGAAGTGGTTATGCTTATTTCAAAGGTGTGTTAACCTAAATGCACAAAAACAACGGACAGGGCTTGTTTCAGGCAAAGATAAAACTTTTACTAAGAAGTCTTCTGCCTGGAGCTGATTACCCAGCATGACCTGCCCAGTTAGGAATTTACAATCAGATCACCTTGTGAGGTTACTTAGAATCCCTCTTTTTGTTCACAATAATTAGAGTTTTATACCTCATCAGAACCTGGAACTATCCAGAAACTATTTAGAACAGGGACTGAAATTTCAAGATACAGGGTCAGACAGGTGACAACAGTGAAGTGGCAGGGGTGAGTGAGGGCCACATTGAACTAGAGAGTGCATTTCATCTATCTCCATCTGCCTCACCCCCAATCTAATGGAGGGACTGGCACAAAGTCAGTCCCAGTAAAGTTTTGTTGAAAGAATGAGTGAATAGATTACTAAGTAATCCCAAAGTGGAATATCTAAATCTAAGCAGTTTCCCAGGCTCTCAAAACCACCTAATCCTGTTTTATAATTATTTCTTTCTTCCCTGCAGGAGCCTGGATGGCTAGCTTTCTTCATGTGGTGATGGGCTAGATGCTGGGATAAAATCCTGCCCAGGTATCTTCTCCAATCTAGCCCTTGGCCTTTAGCTTAGTTGTCTGAAGCCAAGACGGGGTGGAGGAAGATTTAGGAAGAGACAATCACTGTTTGGTAAGGAGTGTGGCTGCTGAACCTCAACCTGTGCTTCCTTATCCCACCTTCCTTTCCCATCTCTAGTACTTTTCCAAGGGCAAGATTGAGTCTCACCATATGGTAGGGGGCAGAGCAGATGTGGCCAATAAACAGCAGGGAATTCTACTTTGTATGACTCCTTTTCTATGTAATCTGACCACAAAGTTTAAGCATATTATGAAGAATGGTGTGTGTGTGTGTAGTCACTTGATCTTCTGTGGGTCTTTGTTACCCCATATGTAAAATGAAAGCTTTTGATCAGATAATCTCTGCTTCACCATGAGGACCCTGCCTCTTGTTCCAGGGAAAAAGTTCCTGGGCCTTGGCCAGCTGGTCCTATGTCTTTATTCTGCAGAATGGCTAAGAGTTATTCTATTTCAGAATTAGGATTAAGTGTCTTCATATAATATATTGCCCTGACCATTAATTATTTATAATCTCATACACTCCCCCTTTCTATTAGAGGGTGGATACAGACAGCAGTGTTTGTGCTATCATTTATTCATTCAATAACAGGTTGGAATATACTTTGTACCAGTTCCTGTGTTAGGCTCTGGGGATTTAACAGTACACAAGATAGTCTTTGACTTTACAGAGAGGACAGCTGAGTACAGGAAGTAGGTGGTGTGGACCAGGAAGCAGGGCAGGCTTTATATAAATTGGCAGAGGTGGCACTGACACAAAATCCTAACTAAAACTCTGTGCCTCTTTTTGTTGTTTGTTTTACTTTTGAAATACTACTTTTTATTAATATCTATAATCATTTAGAAATTTCTTGGCCCGGCTGGTGTGGCTCAGTGTTTAGAGCATCAGCAACAAGGACCAAAAAGTCTCGGGTCTGATTCCGGCCAAAGGCACTCTGCTGCAGCTCAGTCCCAGGCCCTGGCCAGGGTTGTGCGGGAGGCAACCAGTCGATGTGTCTCTCTCATATGATGTTTCTCTCTCTCTCTCCCTCCCACTCTATCTGAAGATAAATGAGAAAATATCCTCAGGTAAGGATTAAAAAAAAAAGCTTCTGTTCTGCGTAACAGTAGATGCTTATAAAATAAACCACAAGACAACACTTATTGCAAATGAAAGCAGTGCTCTTATTATAACTAAGATGCAGTTAATTTATTTTATTTTCTTTGCTTAGTTGGGGTGGGCATATCTAGCCAACTTTAGTTCTTTTCAGTCATTGCAGGTGACAGTTCCATTGATATATTTTATTAAACTAGGCAGCAAGTCTTTTTTAAAATAATAAGGTAACTGAAGATTTAAAAATATCTCATAGCTAAAAGTTGATTATGAATATTCTCTGAAATTAACACCAAAAGTCTGTTAAAATATAAGTGAGGAGTCATTCACATTTTATTTTTAATCCTTCCCCGGAAGATATTTTTCCATTTATCTTCAGGTAGAGTGGGGGTGGGGAGTGTGCTGGCATGTTTATAACCCCATAATTGATGATTGGTAAATTATTGTGCTGCTCCATAATTGATAATTGGGAAAGTCACTGTATGCCCTCTAGCTGAACATGTTTAGTCAAAATAACCTCAGTAAATTGGAATACTCCCTGAACCAAGAAATTGTTGGGAATCGGCTACATGTCTGACAGAGTCCACGGAGCCTGGAGGTCTTGAGTCAGAGACTCGACTTTCCCCACTATCTTAAGGAATTAAGCTTGCATTGTGTTTGTGCAGCTCAGGGCTAAGTGTGACCCAATGTACCTTGAAATACCTGAAATACCTGGGTGTGCCTGAGTGTTCCTGTTATCCGTAAGGCAAACTAATTCTATACAGCATTGCTGTGGCCCTGGGCATTATATCAAGAAGATCCTATTTTCTGTAAGGTATAAAAGGCATGTAATAAAGCATATCGGGGCTGATTCCAAAGACTCTGTCACAGTGGTGTTCGGAATCAGACGCCGGCTGGCTAACAAATGGCTCTTATTTGGACTTCAATTATCTAGTGGTCTTTCTTTGACTCTGTCACACCACAACATTTGGAGGCCCCAGGGCTGGTCTCCGAGAACTCAATCAGTTGCTGGCCGGCTTTGCTCTCTATTTGGCTTTAATTTAGCTCTGGTGGTCTCTCGGTTCTCTTCGTGCCACAACAGGAAGTAAAGAGAGAGACATGGATGTGAGAGAGACACATTGATTGGCTGCCTCCTGCACGACCCCAACTAGGGCCGAACGGTATGTGCCCTTGACAGGTATTGCACCCACAACTTTTTGGTTGGTGGCCCACACTCTTAACAGCTGAGCCAAACATGATTGGATGCTGCACACACCCTGATGGGGGATGTAAAAGGTCTGAGCCTACAGGAGATCAAATCCACAACACAAAGCCAATGTAGAGCAAAATGGCTTTATTGCATGCACCTGGGTGCAAGCGGGCTGAACTGAGAAGGGGTCAGCCTTGAATAAGGGTTGGGCTGTCGGTTATATATCCTTATAGCTTCCAGCACTTCCTGCTGATGTACTTTATCTGGCCCATTGTCCACCTTAAAGTAGGGCTGGTCTGGTATCTCGTCAGGCATCTGCTGGGTTATCCATTGCCTTGCGGACAATCCAGATAAACCTTATCCGAACTCAACAAAAGGCTGACCCAAGGTCATGCAAGCAACAAAATTTCCACAGTTTCCGCCTTTTGCAAACTTTTACCTTTACCCTTTAAAACATTACTAACCTTTTCAGGATGGAGT